TGCCCGATATTAGGGACACACCATGCACATATCGGGTACCCGATATGTGTATGTTTTATCAATTTTCGACCAGTGATCATACTTTTTAGTATAGATTAGTTAGTAGTTTATAATATTTTAGTTTAGCTACAGTATTTTTAGCTAATAGTTAATTATATCTTTTGAAGATCAGATCACGGTCAGCAATATGCAAGTATAGTCTGAAGGTTAACTAATATTCTTTAGTCAAACTAATTTAAACTATTTAAATAATTCTCAAAATTTCTCAAAGATTACTAAGATCAACTCAATTTAATTATTTAATAGTGAATTCGAAGGAATATTACAAGTGAGTTCTTTATTATATGGGATTTTAGCATATCAAATTAGCTTGTTCGCTTAATAAGATATATATACTAAAGAGTATTTATACAAGATTAACTCAGATTTTATTAAGAATTACATGACAAATTAATAAATTAAAGATTTAATAAAGATATTTAATATGATATGACTTTATTAATAAATATAATAATAAATATAAAGATAAAATATAATATAAAAATAGAAATTATAAAATTAAAGATAAATATTAAAGGATTAAATAATGTATTAACTAAAGAGAACTTGACTATAAACTCTATTTTTTTGTAAACTCTAGAAAACTCCTTTTCTAAGGTCAAGAATGACTTATATTTATATTCCTTTAATTTACTGCATACTACGATCTACTAAATTATTAATTTTAGCAAAAGATAATTAATCTGATGATCCACCTGTTACATGCAATAGGTAATTTACTTAGGTGATCCACCTGGTAGTCAACCTGATGAGCCACCTGTTATAAGATCTATGATTTACATAAATTATAAATAAACTATATAAAATAATAAATACATTAATAAATAATAAAAATAATAATAAACTAAATTAATGTTCTACAATATCATGAGAATTATGATATTACATTATAAAAATCATGATATATATATAATATAGTATTGTTAATATTATATATATTTTAAAGAAGTAGATAGAAATGAGTTATAAAGAGGTGTTATACATATTAAAGAGAGAGAGATGGTATTAATGATAATTAAAAAAAAGTTTTTGTTTATTTGTGTATATAGGATATCAGATTAGAGGAGTATTGTATAACATATTAAATCATTACTATATATATTTATAAATATAAATTGTTACTATATAAAAAATACATTAATCAAATAAATTTTGAGACAATGTAAATTTTGAAGACATGAATTTTGAATTTTGTAAATAATTTTTGTGCATTATAAAAAAGCAAGAATTTGACAAAGTGAATAAAATTGAGTTCTACAATACATTAATTACTCAATAAATTATTATTAATTATAGCAAAAAAAAAACTAATTATTTTAATTCTATTTTTGGATGCAAAATATTTATAGTTTAAAACATTGACTTTTATGTTGGAAATTAAAATTTGTTATGATGACATGGGTCGAGCATGCACTTAGTCAGATGATTTGTGTGCCCCTGAAATTTGGAAATTGAATATTTATATAAAAGACGAAAGCTTTTACCTTTTTCTGAAAAAGCGAATTCTATATTGAACATGCCCCCCCATAATTGGTCGGTTGAAGAAGTCTGTAATTGGGTTCGAACATTACAGGTGCAAGAAAATGTTGTGGATCGGTTTAAAGGTGGACACGTTTTTTCGTGTTTCATAACCTCATTCTTTCAATACTTTACGCGATTTTGTTTATATTCTTTGTTAATTTTTTATATTTTAATAAATTATTTGCCAGAAAATAAAATTGATGGTGCAAAATTAATGAATAATTATATTGACGATAATCTTTTGAGAAATAAAATGAAAATTTCCAATTGGAACGAACGATTCAACGTATTGCAATCGATCTCGTTCTTGAATAAAGAAGGTATTAGTGATGAAAAGTTTCGCCAAAGAAATTTTCTTTAATTCATTATTGCATTAAAGTTATTATTATTTTCTTTTAGATGAACAAACCATTGTTCCGTTAGTTTTTCCCAAATTAGAGACACCTACATTTTCACTATTGCAGGTCGGGCATCAAGTATCTACTGTGAATGCTACCGAAAATAGCAGAGAAATTATGGAAGCAGATAATGTAGGTGATGATGATAATGACGATGAAGGAACTGACATTATTTCGAGCAGTGAAGATAGCAATTATTTTGCCGAAAGTGATATGGATTATGATGATGTCGTTGTTAATGATGAAAACGATGAAGTAGATGATGAAGGGAATTTTGTCATGGAAGATGAAGATGAAGATGAAGAAGGTGATGATAGTGAAGGTGAACTCTTTCAAACTAATGAGGATATCAAATCTAAATTTCGTGCTATAAAGAATGGAGAAACAATTCCTGAACAAGAAATAACGCGAATCATTAAAAGGAGAAAAAAATACGGATACCTAAAAAAATGGATGTATATGGAAAATGATGAATTGTTACCGGTAAGTGCATAAATTTTTCTATTCAAATCATACAATATAGTTAATGTAATTAATATTTTTCTTTTAGGTTTATGGAGAGAGTGACGAGGAACAAAACTATATCCCAAGTGATCTTGAAAGAGATATGATGGAGGAAGAGTTACAATTAAATGGCAAAAAATCTCTTTTCGTCATAAAATCTGTTGATGGAGATCAAATGGATATTGATAATTTTGATGAAAAAGAAACTAAAGTTGATAATACTCAGGAATTAATAAAACAATATATCAATGAGGTGAAACAAAATTGGGAATTGACAAAGTAAAAAATTTTTTTTTTTGGGTATTTCTCGAAACTTGTTTAAATATTACCAATTATTAAACATTGTTTTGGTTATTATCAAAGACGTCCTAAACTTGAGGAAAAAGTATGGAGGAATTGGATTAAATTATTTCCACCAAGAAAACACGTCAATCCTCAAGAAGTGCTAAAATCATTAGAAGAAACTCATCGTCAGTTAAATGAAGTTGTATGTTTATTTTTTTTAATTTAATTTTTTTTTGTTATCTTTATCGAAAATTTTTATTTAAATATTTATGATTCCATAACAGCGACTTCCTCAATTGATTGAACAAATAAAATCAAATTTTTCGGCAAAATCTCAACTTAGCAAGAGCGCTAGACGACAATGTGGAATACTAGATATTACGCTTCACGAAATTTTCGAGATCGAATGGAAAATTTCGCTCATTAAGAATGGTAAAATTCCACAGAAACCCCCGAAGAAACCAAAAAAAGATAAGCAAAGGGAAAAGGTGAATAAATTTTTTATAATGTTTATCTTATTTATTGTTACATATTAATTTCGTTTCTAATCTCGTTACAAAGACTGCGTCTGATAACGGCGAGAAAAATTCAGATGATGATAGTTACGATTCAGACTTCATAGACGATTCTGAAGTCACGTATACAGCAGAAGAATTGGCTGAATTTGCACGCGTCGGAATAGAAATTCGTGAGTTTATTTGAAAGAAAAAAAATTTAATTTTCTTGTTATGAATATAATATTAATGCATATTGAAATTTTAAATCAGAACCTATAATTGAGAAGGAATTACCTACTATAGAAAACCATTATAATTCTGAAACAACAATAGCATCATCAAAGACTTCTCCCAAGAAATCTTCAGAACCTTTTGCCGGTAAAGAAATTATTGTGATAAATAGCGATTCAGACATGGATATAAGTAGTGCAAATGATGAAAAGGAGATTGTCGCTCATGAAGAGAAAAAATGCGAGATAAGTAATGCTTCAAATGGTAATAATTCTAAAAAAGAAAGTGGCGAAATTGATGAAATATCTCAAAAAGACCCTATAGCACAGGAGCGGCAAAAAATTCATTGGAAAGTGAGCGAATATTTCTTAAATTACGGAATAGATGGTAAATTTTAATTTCATAATAATGTTATTCCTTCCAATTTATATTTATAAATTTTAATTCAAGATTTATTGTTTCAATTAGAGTTGAAAGAAAAATGGTCTACTGCTTTAGAGCTCATGAAATGCGATGAGGCGAAGTTACGTCAAGAACAACTCGAGATGGTTCAAATAATTGATGAACATAATAGATTCAGATCCTACATGCATTGGATGACCACTAAAGGGAATACCGAAGATACGGATCAAAATTTTAAAGAATTCGAAGACGAATTTCCTGGGGTGCATATTCCGGAGTGTGAATCTTGGAAAGAATATTATAATTGGAGAAAGTCACTTGCGTCTAGTGAACGGAAATTGAGACAAAATAAAAAGGAAATGTTAGTTATTTATGAATATATATCTTCATGCCTATTTTTTTATACATGATGACTAAATATGATTATATCTATCATATTTATATTTGTAAATTTTGGTTCTCAAAGACCTGAAAATGATGTGCACGAACCTTCAGCCATTGAAAATTTCGAAGAGGAATTTGAAAACGTTAAAAATTACATTGGAGATTCCGATTGTGATGATGAACCATTAGCGGTTCCCGGACGCAAGAAAAAATCCAAGCCCAAGATAAGGCCAAGGGAAACTGCTGATGTTATAGAGCAGCGTAAAGCTCGTATGTTACTTGAAAACGATTATCAAAGACGTTACGAGAAGTAAGATTCCAAAATTTTATAATTTGCTTTTCACATGTTTAGAAAGATAACTAACGTAATAATATCATGCAATTAATAGACAAGAGGAAGATACAAGACATGAAAAAGGAGTAAGATCACGTTAACGAATTATTTTTATTTAATGAATAATCATATTAATAAAGCTATCGATTTTTCAAGGTCATAATAAATCTCGGTCATCGAGATGATGATGAACATATTTACATCCACGAACATTTAGCCACTAAGTTGAAAGAACATCAAGTTTGTTTAATCTGATTTATCATATTATTTTTTGTTGATTCATTAGTGCTATAATTAGTTTTTCCTTTTTTTTTAGAAAGAAGGTGTTAGATTTCTTTGGAAAAATATAATAATGTTTGATAAAGGATGCGTTCTTGCTCATTCCATGGGTCTTGGTGAGGTTTTGAGGATGACTTATATTTTTATTTATTTTTTATTTAGAAAATTTGTTGAATTTTCGCATATTTTGGCATTTTTTAGGCAAAACTTTCCAAGTTATTACATTTTTATTTACACTCACAAAGGAAATAGAAAAGAAAACCAATCTCCACGTATTTCCCGATCAGTTGCATGTGAGTAGGTGGTATTTCTTTCGCTATTTAATCACATATTACATTATTAAATTCATTTTTCAAAAAAAAAATAAAAAATAAACAGAAACTTTGTGTTATAATACTTTGTCCCAAAACTGTATTGGATAATTGGGAAAACGAATTTAAAAAATGGATTTCAGCGATTGATTCAGATAAATGTAAATCATGCCCTGTCTTTAAATTAGGAGGTAATTATAATTGGATATAGTCTCTCGTGATGCTTTTTTTATTTTTTTTTCTGTAGATTTTTAAAATCATTTTATTAGATTCATATAGATATTCGGCGCAACGTTTTGACTTATTGGAAAAATGGAAAAATGGAGGAATTCTTATAATGGGATATGAAATGTATCGTTATCTTGTAACAGCTGATGCCCAATGTGAACAATATTCGCATTATCTATTGAATCCTGGACCATCTCTTGTGGTTGCAGATGAAGGACATATGCTCAAGAATAAAGAGGTTTGGTTATATATGCATATAATTGTAATTCATTTCTATTATCTGTTTATTAATTTTTTTTTATATACATATAGCGAATACTTCCTGAGGTTCTTAAAGGTCTCAAAACCCCAAGTCGCATAATTCTGACTGGCTCTCCGTTGCAAAATAATTTAGAAGAATATTGGTGTACTATAAACTTTGTATGCCCTAATTATCTTGGTAAATTAGAAGACTTTAAAAGAGTCTATATCGAACCGATAGAAGCAGGATTATATACACACTCTGGTCTATCTGATGTTAAAGTATGAAATGTTTCCTTACTCCGACCAAAATGTCTATCTTACATGTCATTTATATTATTTAATTATCTTGTCATTAATAATTTCGTATAGAGATCGAGAAGAATGTTATTAGTGCTGAGCAAAATTATTGAAGATATAGTACACAGGTATGTGGTATTTTCTTTGCCTTAATGTTTTATAGATTTTATTTTCTGTTATTCATTTTATGTCATATAGGTGCAATAACTCAATTCTTGAGAAAGAACTTAAACCTAAATACGAATTTTGCATAGCGTGTAGAATGGGTGAACAGCAACTTGAGATATATAAGGTTAACATAAGTTTACGGGAGTTGGTTTACACAAGTCCTTTTATTTTTTTATTTTCGTATTTACAATTTTTCCATAAAAATACTTATTATATATCTTGGTTTAAATTAATTTTTAATTTTTTTCGTTATTTTCTTTCACCAAAGTCTCTCGTCGATTCTGTTCGAAGTGAAGGAGGATCTCCTATTCGTTATACTCACCTATTAAGTATGTATTTATTATCATTTATTTTTAAAAAATTCAAATTTTTAACAATTCTAATTGTAGGTGTTTTGTGTAACCATCCCGCGATTTTATTGGTAATTTATTATTTAAATCATCGAGTATTTTTGATATTTTATTTCGAGACTTCGTTTAATGGATTATTTTTTTTATTAGGCGAGTTTGCAGAAAAAGAAATCAAATAAAGACAGCAAGGAACCCGCGGAATCTAAAGAGAATAAAGAAAATAAAGAATCCAAGGAAACTCAAGAAAGCAATTGTATGTCAAATTATATCACGATCTAAAACTGCACTATTTATTATGTTGCAATTTTTTACGAAATTTATATTTTGCAGATATCGATTTAACCAATGAAAGTGATGATTGTATTAATGAATCGCGACCTGTATCGAACTCCGTTCACACTTTTATTCTGAACATGGAGAATTTCATATCTGGTACATTATAGTTGTTTGATAAAACGAATCTCGTTTTTAGAAATGTATATCGTATTCATCATTTTATTTCATTAAGGGATGGATTTTTCTGCATCTGGAAAAATGGTTTTACTGGCACAAATTTTGAAAGAATGCGAGAAAATTCAAGATAAGGTTCTCATATTTTCAAAGAGCATTCCAACAATGAGTAAGAGAATTTTGTATATTTAATAAGGCTTTTTTTTTTTTTTTTTTTTATCTAATCATTTTATTGTTCCTTTCTAGATTACATAGAAAAACTTCTTATTCGATGGAAAAGTTCACCACGTTTCCTAATTCGTATTGATGGAGATACTTTAATATCTGTATGTGAAAATTTCTTCTTTTTAATATTTGGATTTGCATTGTTTTGATTAAATAATTTATTTTTTTAGGATCGTCAAAGTCGTATTGATAAATTTAATAATTCTCAAGAATGGCGTGTGGCATTAATTTCTATGAGGGTAGGCATTCTTGAATTTTATATCAACTTTCTGTGGGCCATTTTCTCAATTTTATTATTGATTATAGACGGGAGCTCTTGGCGTAAACTTGATTGGGGCAAATAGAGTAGTTTTATTTGATGGTGAATGGAATCCAAGGTTCGATTACTTTATTTATTATTTCTTTTTAGATTTTTTCTAAATAATAACAATTGTACATTTATGTATTTCTAGTTTTGCCGAACAAGCTATAGGACGCGTATGTATTAGCATACATTTTAATGAGATTATTTTACGATAAATTTTTTTTATTTATCGTTAACTTTTTGGTAGACTTATCGGTATGGTCAGAAAAAACAAGTTTATGTCTATAGATTTGTGACTTATGGAACTTTCGAAGAGAAATTATTTGTGCAGAACATTCATAAGATGGGATTGTCAATGTATGCGAAATATTTCATTGAATTCATTAATTTGAATTATTTTTTGAACAAATTTCTTAAAATTAATTTAAATTTTTTTTTTTTTGGATTATTTATCAGGCGAGTTTTAGATCAAAGGAATCTTACCAAGATACATTCAAAGTCTGAAATTAATGCCCATTATTTCTCAGTGCCTTTGCCAGATGCTGAATGCAAACTTCCATCGATATTGAATTTTAATGATAAATTATTGGAGAGCGTTGCAGATCGGTAACCGATTATTTCTTTTTTTTTTTACTTTTTTTTTTTTTTACTTTATAAATTTAATTAACATTTCTTATTAAAATTTCATGAATTTCATGCATAAAGTCATCGCAAACATATATTAGAAATTCATCCTATGAAATCATATTTTAACGATGATTTTAATGAACCAGACGAAGATGATAAACTTCAATACGAGGACGCATTGAAAAATGAGAAGGAAAGATTGAAGCATTGATTTGTCTAAACGTCAATGCATTTGTGTTGTTCCCATAAAAGAGGGATCATTGTAAACTCATTTATTTCGGTTGGAATTATTTAAAGACTTTATGCTGCATTGCTTTATTATAAGTGGTAAAACATATGATAGCACGATAAATTTATTTCTAAAGTATTTAAAATTTATTCGAATAGAATCTTTTTTTATTTATTTGATACAAAACATGCACGGAAACCATTATCTAAAGAATTACTTCAATTGTTAACTGCTAGATGTATTGCGCGAAATTTGCAAATTTTTACATTTTTCAAATAAAAAATGTGAAATCTTGGTACGAAAGTTTCCTGAGTAAATCTCAGGCATTTTCCTATCGAGTTCTGATTAATTTCATAAATAAAGTTCATGTTAAAAGAAGAAGAATACGAGGCAAAGATGATACATAAACTTTCGACAAAAAAAGCAAATAATTAGTATTTTTACAAGAAAATGCGATAGTCAATATTTAAAACAAATAAATAATAGTAAATACTTCGCTTTATAAAAAAGTATTTTACTTTCGTTTGACAAAAGCGCAAGTCGGCATTTTTTGCAGTACGAAAGTATTAACTATTGGATTATTTTTTGTAAGAGCAAAAGTATTATAGAACGAAGCAAAAAAAGCAATAGTTAGTATTTTTTCTGCAATAATCAATTTATTTTTATCGTATCGTGCGGAAAAATTTTTTTTACTTTTATTTAAATGCAACGAATCAAATTAATAATTAAATTAAATTAAATTAAATTAAATTAAATATAAAATAACACTAGCTATGTAATCTAAATTTATTCTTGGCAAAGTAATAATTAATTACTTTAATCTGTACATTATTTAAATCATGTAGATATTGGAATAATATGTCATCTTCACCTAATATTAAATAAATTGCAACAAATGTATCAATTACTGATTTTCGAACAATCGACCTTTGATCCTTGAAACCCTAAATAATAAAAATTTAATTATTAATTACTTATATCTTTGGTGTTTGAATGATGGTTGTAAAGAAAATAATAACAAACCTTAACCATTAATGGAATAATTCTTCCAATTTGTCTTTCTAAAGATTGTTTGTTATATCTTTTTATTAATCGAAACAATGCAACAAATGCAGATATGGTCATTTTCGGGTTCATATCTGCAAAAATGTCTGATTCCATTATATCAATAAGTGCATATAAGGCAGCACTCATATCAATCCTTTGGATATAATTATTTAAACTTTCATCTGCATATTCGTAAACCTGGATGTTTAGATTATTTAATTAATTATATTAATATTCTATTTCTATTATTTAATGTATTTAATGTGATTAAACTCAATTACTTACATTCTTGGATGATTCAGATCGACATTCAAGTAATACTCTCAAAATATCTCTTTCGAGTCTTCGCTCAGAAGTGTACTCAAACTGATTCTCTATTAAGCGATCAAGCAATATTATTGCATGTTCCTTTAATTCGGTATTTTGCTAAAAAAAATAATTAATAAAAAACAACTAAGATTAAAACCTTTTTTTAAAGAAAAAAAAATAATTGTAATTGATAATAAATTTTATTAAAATACCTGATCTTTATCGCTTAAAAACCCTATTAAAGCTGTCATAAGTTCTCCAAATCGTTCGCCATTTTCCCATATATCATCAGCAAGCTTTTTATCGTTTAACGAAATCAATGAGAGATCGGTTGACAATCTTCTTAATGCACTAAATAAAACGCTGTCAACCACATGACTATTCAGTTGAGCTAAAAGAGTTATGAGTAACAGTTTTTTCGCTTGAGCAGATTGCGATGATTCTAAAATTATAAATTCAAAGGTTAGAAATAATTTAATTCTAAATTTTAAAATTTTGAATAAATAAAAACATACGACTATTGTGGTTTATTGCACGTTGACGGGCATTAGGTACTTGATCAGATGCTTGAGATTGTGACTGTTCGGCATCTAATAATTGTTTTTGGGAAGTTGGATTATTATCAAAATTATCTGGCCTAATTTCCTGAAAAGAAGAAAAAAATAAAATGAATTTTTAAAGGCGTTTAATCAATATTTGAACTTAATGTTAGTATAGGAATTTACCTCATTTGGCACATTTTCTTGAATTTCTACGTTATCTATAAGAACAGGAGAGTAATTTACAGCTTCAGGTGTAATAGGCTCAGGTATAACAGGTTCTATGTGATCAAGTTCATCATAACTTTCTTCAACAAAAGTTTCTTTATCCATAGCTTCTGTCCAACTACTGTCTCTTGACATTCGTCTACCTCTACTGACCAACTCTGATCTATTATTTGAAAGGCCAGAATCTCGAGATGAATTCCTTTTATATCCAGAATCTCGAGATGAATTCCTTTTATACCCAGGATCTCGAGATAAATTCCTTTTATATCCAGAATCTCGAGATGAACTCCTTTTATATCCAGGATCTCGAGATAAATTCCTTTTATATCCAGAATCTCGAGATGAATTCCTTTTATATCCACTATTCCAATCATTTTCCCAAAGATTTCGTGCCGAGGGTTGAGTTCCTCTATTATCATAATTATCATATTCATTCCTACTTGGAATTCTCGGGTTACTATCATCTATATCAGAGTCTTTTATAATGCGGGATGACCTTATTCCTTCTTTTGGATCTCTGAACTCAAAATTTTTTCTATCTCTTGGAGATGATAAACTTGATCTTTCATCCCAATCACTCTCTCTATTAGAATTTCTTAACAAATAATTTTTTTCATATTGGTTTTGATCCCTCCCTGATTTTTGTCTATAAAATTCCCAATCATTTTCTTCCGTATTTTTTAAGTTAAGTTCAGACTGATGTCGCTCCAAATCATGTATTTCTTTTTCATTCTGAAACTTTAGATCTAGCCCACACTGTTCTTGCTCACGTTTAATTTGTATTCCTCGTTGAAAGTCCAGCTCACGTTGTTCCCGGTCACTTTTTTGATCTTGAAGTTCAAGCTCACGCTTCTGGGTCTCTTGTTGATATTCGAGCTCACGTTTCTGGGCTTCTTGTTTATATTCAAGTTCACGTTGTTCTTGAAGTTCTCTTTCACGTTTTATTTGCAACTCTCTTTGATACTCCAATTCACGGTGTTCTTGGAGTTCTCGCTCACGTTTCTGGGCTTCTTGTTTATATTCAAGTTCACGTTGTTCTTGAAGTTCTCTCTCACGTTTCATTTGTAACTCTCTTTGATATTCAAGTTCATGTTGTTCTTGGAGTTCTCTCTCATGTTTCATTTGTAAATCTCTTTGATATTCCAATTCATGTTGTTCTTGAAGTTCTCGCTCATGTTGTTCTTGAAGTTCTCTTTCACGTTTTATTTGTAACTCTCTTTGATATTCCAATTCACGTTGTTCTTGGAGTTCTCGTTCACGTTTTTGAACTTCTTGCTGATATTCAAGCTCACGTTGTTCTTGAAGTTCTCTTTCGCGTAACTCTCTTTGATATTCAAGCTCACGTTGTTCATTAAGTTCTCTTTCACGTTTCATTTGTATCTCTCTTTCACGTTTCATCTGAAGCTCTCTTTGGAACTCAAGCTCACGTTGATCTTGAAGTTCTCTCTCATGTTTCAGTTGTAACTCTCTTTGGTACTCTAATTCACGTTGCTCTTGAAGTTCTCGTTCATGTTTCATCTGAAGCTCTCTTTGATACTCTCTCTCTCTCTCTAATTCACGTTGTTCTTGGAGTTCTCGCTCACGTTTTATCTGTATTTCTCTTTGAAGTTCAAATTCGCGTTGGGCCAATTCTCTTTTACGTTGTTGTTCTAATTCCCACTCTTGTCTTTGTAATTCTCGGGCATATTCCTGCTCTAATTGTAATTGTTTTTCTTGCTGTAATTGTTTTTCCCGCTCTTCACGTTCGCGTTTTTTCTTTTCTAATTGTTCTTGCTTTTGCCTTTGTAATTCTTGAAGTTGCATTTGTTGTTGTTTGATTAAATTTTCTTCATATGTTCGCCGTTCTAACTCTTCTTTCTCAAATAGTTCTTGCTGTCGTCTCGCAAGATTTTCTTGTTCTTCTTGTTCTTCTAAAAGTTCTTCTTCAGCTTCTTTCAATTCTTCTTCCCAACCTACTATTTCACCAATGGTATCAATTGTTCTATTATCGTAAGTATATAATACCGACTCAAAGGTGTCAGGCTTTAATTTATGCAAGCTAACGATAAAATCACAAAGAGGTTCATAATTCTCAGAAACCTTTTTAGTTTTTGTTGCCATTTGAATAATGTGATGAGCGAGTTGTTGATATTTATCTAGATCTCCTATATAACCTCTAACAAGTCCATCATTGTTTTCTGCTTCTTCCAGTTTTGGATTAATTGCCTCGTTTAACCAAATCAAAATTCCATTGGCAATTTTACGTCTCTGAGGAGGCGTAAAATTAAATGCAGTAGATAATTTTCGAGGAGCGGTTGCAGTATTTCCTAACAACGATAAGCATTTGTCAAGTGTTGCTAATGCTTTATCATCCCCAATTGATTTCTTAATTCTCGGAAGAAAGTTCCGAGCAACTTCTGACTGTTCTGGTTTCGTCTCATCAGTTAACAATAAAATAACGTGTGGAATTAAATATTCTAACTTTGTGATTTTAGCCAATTCCAAAAAAACATTTGGTTCAAAGAATTGTTCTAGAACTTTAATATTTGTGTCTTCCAATATTTTAAATATGTGCGGAGTTATTTCCTCATCTGTTGGAAGCAATGCCTTTTTGAAATCCGGTTTTCCAGATGGAGTTTCTAATGTTCTTTTAACAACTAATTGTGCTACATTAAAAATTCCTTCTATTCGAGTGTTTGGAGAGCTATGGGATAATTGTTCTATGACTGATAATTTACGAGGTTGAATAGGTACAGATACAGGTACAGCATTGGAGGGTTGACCTTCTGTCGAATGAGCAGATTTTGATTTCCTCATAGCGGGGGGAGCAGGAGATTTTGAACGTAATTTAGGGGCTGAAGATGGTGTTTTCGGTCTTAATTGCTCCTGTCTGGGTGTTGGTGTTTTAGATCTCGCAGGTGATGAAGTCTTGGGTCTCAATTCCGACATTGTAGGTGAAAAAGTATTTATTTCTTCGCCAGTAATGTTATCAGAAGTAGAAATACTAGGTGGTCTTTTTGGTTTTATGACGCTTGAACGATTTCCGAGTGGAATTATAGTTGTGCGAGTAGGTGACATTACATTTGAATGTTTGGGCTTATCACGTTCCAATTGTTTTTTCACAGCTGGCTCTATGCTCTTCATAATTCTTATAATAATAATAATAAACTTAATTGGCATTTTTTTTTAAAAAAAAAGAATGATAATAATTGATAATCACATACTTTTCTCCTCTCTCTGGCCAGACTTCATAGAATATCCAGAATACTTCTCGGCAAGTTTCGCGAACTTTAGGATTTGCATCAGTCAATCCTTTCCGAACACATTTTTCCAGAGACTCAGCACCTCCTGTTCTTTCAATGATATCTTTTTTATTGGAATGAGAATTTATGACAGTTTTAACAAAGCAAATTGCATGTTCTCGAAGTTGCTTATTTTGTTCTTCCATCGCATTCCATAGCTGTGTTACTAACCGATGATGATAAGAGGCATGTTCTAAAAGAGCGTGGGCAGAGTTTGATGCAGCACGGGAAATAATTTTTTTTGTCGATAATACCATTTTAATAAGTGCAGCCAAGATATTATCCGCGAAAGGATCCAAAGCTGGACCCAAATTTGTTGCTAGATCGTTTAGTAAATTTGAAGAAGCCAATGAAAGAGTTGTGCGCAAACTCATTAGCTATAAAAAAAATAATTACTAAAGAGTTTAGTAACATATAATGATTAATAATGATTAATAAAAATTCCTATAAAAAATGTAACATACTGAAGTAAGAAAACCATCTATTGTTATTTTAAGACCATTAATAAATGATTCCTTGTAATATGTAAAAGCATCTCCTCTAACTAAGGCTCTCATTCGATTTACCGCACGTTCGCGAATCAACCAATTCTCTTCGGACTCTTTTCCTTGAAAATTAATAGATAAATTTTGAAATTCTTTTTCTAATTCTTTAGCACTGTCAACCTAGAAAGTTTAAATTATATAAATATTTATTTGTCCTTTATGTAAATAAATGTTTAATAGAAAAAAAAAAGTGTAATTTACATGTATAGCTCCAACATCACTTTCAGCCGAACTCATTGGTCTTATAATTTCTTTAACATCATCAATACGATCTTCCTTATCAAATTCAATTTTAGAATCTGTAAGGTTATCATCATTATAAGATTCTACATCATTGCTTCCGAAAATTCGTGCAAGAATATAGTCAGCAATTGCTGAACGAATTGATTGTTCACGGAGTTCTCTTTTTAGATCAGTTTTTGCATGTGATGCGGCCCCACTAATAATTGAGATTTACATATGGAATTTTTGGAATTTTCAGAATTCAGTTATGTAACTTATAAACGTGCACATAAAAAAAAAATATATACCTAAATAGTAAAACAATAATGTCTTTCGCAGTTTCTCTTACACTTTCATGAGTGTCTTCAAGTAATTTGACCATATATGGAACCCATTGTCGCAAAGAGAAATCTTTTATATTTTTTGTACTGTATAATACCCAATGTAAAATCTTTAAAATGAAATCGAATAATTTAGTTTATTTCATTTAAAAAATAAAAAATAAATAAATTATCATATCATGTTAAGTATAACATTTACTTGTTCGCGAACTTTCCATTGCTTATGACCAAAAGCATATTCCTTTATCGTTTGTCCAAGTGCTGTTATAGTATTTGCACCTCCATTTATAGAAGTTGCAGAATTATACATCGTAAACAACACTTGGAGCGCTATTTCTTTGGATTTTTCTTTTGAGTCACCAAATTTGTCAATGACGACACTTGCAAATGTTGTCACTACATTTTTGTATTGTGAAGGATGTGTTTCAGCAATTAACAGCACAAATTTATTTAGACATGTTAGAGCTGCATAGGATATCGCTGCATGAGATCCCTTTATCGCCTCTCTTAGGACAGGCGTAAGTTGGCTTATTTCTTGTGGCTAATTTAGAAAATAAATGTTGTTAATAATAATTTAGAATATTAAATTCGAAATTTCTTCAATAATATTAATCAAAAAACGATTAGCCAAAACAAAATGTGACTTAACATTAAATCATTACTTTAAACCAACCTCAAGTGGTGTCTGTTCTTCTAGCTCTTCTTCGAGTTTTTCTAAAACGTCTATTTTTTTGTCTAAGCCTTTGAATAATATTTAAGCGGAGTAAATTAAAAGACAGAAAATATAAATTTAGTTTATAAATAAAAAAGGGTTTTTACGTACTATTTCCTTTTAACGTCTCTATAACTTTGTCAACGATTTCAGTCATAGGTTATAAAAGCGAAAAGCGAAAAAATTGGAAAATTATTTCACATGATAATTTATTATTTATTGGACGAATTATGATTGGTCAAAACAATAAAATGTTTTTACTTTAGATAATATAATGCCAAATCAATAAAAAAAAGGTAAATACTTGTATTACTTAGAAGGCATGATAATAATAGTGACGCGTAGAGTTTACCTTGCACTAGTTAATATTAGAATTTTAATTATGAGGCGTAATCATAAAAGTTTCGTCCCGAGGGCGTACCATTGTCGCCTTACTGAACGATACATGACGTAATATCTGGTCGGATTAAGTTCTTCGGAACAGTTTTATTCTTTTATGATGATTTCAATATAATGTCCATTTAGACTATTTTAATTGAATAATATGTAGAACATATAACGGGGGAGATCTTCAATGATATCTGTACAATATGTAAATATTTTAACAAGGAGAATAATAATACATTTGTTGTTGATCTTTCTTTGTATTTCTTTGTATTGTCCGAATTATAGTTAAAATTCAATATTGCACAACGTTTCATTAATAAATTATTCCATTTTTCCATTCTTCCATTGTGTCCAAAAAGAGAAACTATGGTGGAAAAAACTTTAAATGCACTTCGTTTTATTATATAGTATTTTTTTAAAATTTTTATCCCTACGTCAAAAAAGTGCAAATTGATTATTTTTTTTTGATATATTGACGTATGATCATTTTTACTAAAATGATAAAAAAAAATATTAAATCAATTTTTGGAAAACTTAATTGTTTTAAAGCAACAACTATTATAGAAACTCAGGAAGAAATAGAACCACAGAAAACCAAAAATATCGAAGAAACTATAATAAAGAAACATGAAGAAACAAAAGAGGTTGTAAAAATTGAAAAACATGAAGAAACAAAAGAAATTGTAAAAATTGAAAAACTTGAAACAAAAGAAGTTGTAAAAATTGAAAAACTTGAAGAAACTGAACAAACAACAAACATAGAAGAACCCGCACAAGAAACGGAAGGAACAGAAAAGATTGAAGAGCCCAAAGAAATTAAATACTGCAGCATGTGTTGGCAAGTTAAAAAACTAAATTGTCGTTGCGAAAAAGATTACGGTCGATGCTATGATTGTGGGGAACAAAACATAGAAAATGACTGGTGTCGGAACTGTAGACCATTGTCAATAATACCCACATTTTCATCATGGACCAGCGGAAATAGTGATATTGATGAGCTAATCCAAGAAGCTCAATTAAAACCTAGATGTTGCGATTGGCATTGTTGGAGATGGATCGAACATAGCGACTTAGAAAACGTTCAATATTTATCAGAAGGAGGATTCGGAACGGTACATAGAGCTGCTTGGCCAAAAATACCCAAACAATATTATGTAAAGGAAGTCGCAATAAAGCATATGAAAAATTCACAAAACGTTAGCAAAGAATTTATTAAAGAGGTATTAATTCTATATATTTTGACTTGACATATTTTTAATATCTTTAATTCAGTATTCTTATATTTATATTTTATGTATTCTATGTTTAGCTTAAAGCATACCATGATCATACTGCTTTTTATATTATAAACATTTACGGTATAACTAAAGACCCTCAAACAAATGATTTTGGTATAGTTATGCCTTATTATCATAACGGGGATTTGAAATCTATAATTAGAAATAGAGATAAACGATTAGATTGGAGAGATCGATTAAATGCATTATATCAAATTGCAGGTGCACTTAATAATCTTCATAAAAATGGATTTGTTCATTGTGATCTTCATCCAGGAAATATTTTGAATAATGAACAATATACATATTTAAGTGATCTTGGGTTATGCAAACCAGCTAATTATAAATCAGATTCTGATGATGTCTTTGGAATAATTCCATATATGGCACCCGAAGTATTATGTGGACAGCCATTTTCACCTGCATCAGATGTTTATGGTTTTGGAATTATCATGTGGGAATTGACATCAAGAATACCACCTTTTTACCGTTGTGCTCATGATGAAGATTTGATCCTGAATATTATTTCAGGTGTTCGTCCTGAAATTGTAAAAGGCACTCCTGATATTTATGTAAATTTGATGGAATCATGTTGGAAAAGCGACCCATCTGAGCGAATTAAAACTTCAGAAATTTACAATACTGTTGTATCATGGCAATATGGCCACGTTATTAAGATAACGGGTTTGGAAACATTCCATGAAATTTTTGAAAAAGCCGATAAAGAAATGATTATTACACCTGAATTACCAAAGAAACATCCTGAAGCATGTTATTCGAGCAGATCAGTAAGCCAATATATTAATAGTTCGAAATATGTTACAAGAGATATTAAAGATGATTGTGAGGAATTAAATTGGTCAGGTAAATATGAATATTTAAATTAAATTCATAATAAATTAAAGACAAATTAACTGATAAATTAAAGACAAATTAACTAATAAAATAAAATTAACTAAATAAATTAAAGACAAATTAACTAATAAAATAAAATTAACCAATAATCTTGTAGCCTCGGATTTGGTAATCAACTAAAAGAATACGTAAGGAGACAATGATTTTATATATAGATGTTATTTTAAAAATACCAAAATTTATTTGCTTTTGAGTTTTTTTTTTTTTTTTTTTTTGAATTTATTTTTATTAATAAAATACTGATTAGTTGTAATCAACCATTTTTATAAAGAAATAAAATTATCTATTTATAAAGAACCAAATTTTTTCAATTTTCAGTTAAAATCTTTTCATATTTGTTTACAACAAGTAAAGCTTTCATGTAAAGCTTCATGTAAATAGACCTATTACAAGCATCTTTAAATTAAAATAAATTGTTACAAGTTTCAATTTATGTGTGTCAATATAATGTCAAATGCCAAATAAGTAAAAATAGATAGACATAAAATTTGACCGATTTTCTGTTATGTTTTACGTTTTATGAGAAAAAAAAAGATTACAAGAATATATTCCTGTTTCGATCCATTAAGATAATTTGGATTCCCTTTTTAACATCATAATAACTTTTTACATGTAAACTCCTAATACTGCAATACAGATAATTTTCTGCATTTTTGTTTGCATTTTCGAGTTTGATTGGTTGTTCAACATCTTTGTTTTAATTTATTTAATTTATTCGTATTCGTATTGTATATTAATTATATATGTAAACATTATTCCTGACTATAACTGGTAAAAATTTTAATTAAGTAATTAAAGGTATTAGAAACAAAATTAAAATTTTACCATTATGTGTCAATATTGTGTTCAAGGGGAATTTAACAAATACACATCTATAGAACACAACACATAAGTACATATTATCCCTTTTTTACTTCATCACCCCTTTTTAAACCTTTTTTACCTTCATCATCCACCCAACTCCTTTTTTTTAATTATTATTATTATTTTTTTTTTGCGGCGTACTTCGTTTTTGTCAACGACGTAATAATTCATTATCATCCATCTTACCATTCCTAAACCATCGTAAACATCATCACCATTACATATTATACACCTTAACTGTCTTTAACTTTCAGGAATTAAAAAATTTAACCCCTTCATTTTTTTTTTATCTCCATAATTTTTTTTTGTACTCTTTGATGAAAAAAGTGGTTCAATAATATTTCTATTATTACAAAATATCTTTCTCATTAATACTTATCAGTCGTATTATATTATTTACGCACTTATACTATTTTCTTTTGACTTATTTGCCCATTTGTTGATCTCTTAAAGACAAATAATTTTTTTCGCAATCTCCAATTTTTAATAATTTAATCAATGTGTGTATGCTTATGAATAAATGTTAGGAATTTTTTTAAATAAAGAAATACAATATGTCCAAACAGCCAAGACAAGTAAATGACTTGATTAAATTTTGGGCTTCACAACAAAAAGAAAAGGAAAAAGAAAAATTAAAAGATGCTGAAAAAATTATCCCTAAATCTCCAAGAAGTAGACCTTTATCTCCTAATGCTTCTATCCCTTCTTCACCGAGAACTAATACGCATCAACAGCCACCATCAATAATTATCAACAATATACCTCCTTTATCACCTACTTTACCATTACCATCTTCAGTTCTACCATTTAGTGAATCAGATAAATTATTAAATAGTATATCAAAAGATCTTGGTAGTGATTTATTTTTATTGAATGAAGAAAATAAAAGTCGTGTTACAAATGATATACAAAGTGTTCCCGGTCCTGTCGCAACAAAATCACCTTCTAAGAATATTTCTTTTCTTAATACTCCACGTGAAGCTCCAAAAATACACCGTAATTCTTTGCCTCCAGTAAAAAGTGTTTCCAATTTGGTGTCAAGATTTGAAAAAGTCTCATCACCACCCACGTCACCAACTACTTTGTCACCAACAAATAAGTTTGTCCAAATTTCCGATCCTTACGATAAAGGTCCATTATCGCCTACTGAAGGTCATGTAAAAAGACTTCAACCAATTATTGAACCCTTCTTTAAGTCTTCTCATGCAAAAAGTTTACAAACGGTTGAACTGGATGATCAGAATACAATAATCACGCCTTCTACATTTTTGTCCTCATATGAAAATGACAAACCAATTAACAATGTATCTTCGAAAAAAGCTGATTCGAATCCGATGTCTCCCGTTGAGAAAGTTAAAAAAGAAATTAAACCATTTTCTGACAATAAAAATGACCGTGATACTTTCATGACAAAAGAAATTACGTCGCCGAAATTTTCTTCTATATCCACTTCTTCAAATCCAATTACTACTACTACCACTTCATCAACTTCAAATATTACTCCAAAACGGGTTAAACCTAGACCAGAACGACTATCCATTATTTCTACAAATTCGTCAACGCAAGCTTCTATTGTTCCTGAGCCGAAACGACGCACATCACTTATGACCTCACCAGTGATTCCGAATAAGCAAAGTAGACGCGAGAGCACAACTAGTATACATTCTTCCAATCGGAATCCTCCAAAAATCATTTCTCCTACTACAAAGGCAATTCAAGAATCTCCGTCTGAACCGAAAGTAAATGACTTTCTTGAAATAAAACCTACTTCTCCGCTTGATTTTACATTTTCTAAATCTTTATCCAAAGAATCAACATCTATCAACGCAGAACCCTCTTCTTCCATTTATACTAAGTACTTTCTTGAAGGATCTTCAGAAACTACTTATTCTCAGAATTCAATTCCGATAGAACTTAATCTCGAAAAGAAATCAGACGATTCTATTGAACCTTTACCAATATTTAAAAAATTTTCGTTATCTTTACCAAAATCTATAAAATCTATAAAATCTACAAATTCTCCTAAACGTATTTCTCTAAAGTTGGATACAAAAGCTTCCGTTCAACCGGATTCAGTTCAAACAACTTACAGTTCACCTACTCGTTCTCCTATGGCATCAGTTCAAACAACTTATAGTTCACCTACTCGTTCTTCTATGTCGCCAGTTCAAACAACTTATAGTTCACCTACTCGTTCTCCCATGTCACCAGTCCGCTCATCTATTTCTAAATCCATTCCTTTAGATTCTCCCTCAAATAATAATAATAAAAATAATTTACCAGAATTGGTTTTGCCACCTATTGTTCCTTCATCTCCAATGTGGGGTCCAAAAGCTGATGAAATTCCAATAACACCAGTTCAGGAATTACCTACAATTCAATTACCAGAATTATCAGTTCCTACATTCAATCCAATTCGATCAAGTTCTCCACCAATTAAAAGGAATTCAAACATAAGCAACAACATATCAGAATTTTTACCTGAGATTAAACCAATTTCACCAATATGGAATGGTATCGCAAAAGGTAACTCTAAAATTCCTGAAGAATCTTTGTATCAACCTGAAGGAGAACCTTTGTCTGAACTTCATTCCACAATATGGAAAGCGATGAATCAACCCTTATCGGATAGAAATAATTATGATTTACCATCTTTAAATAAGTCAGAAGATGCTGATATTGGATTTCTTGAGCCATTACCAAAAGCTCAGTATTCCACCACAAATCGACGCGAAACAGTATCAACAACTACATTTGCACGTAATCTGCCCGACACATCGAGAGATTTGCCTTCAAATAAATGCAATTCTTGGGGTCTTTGGGGCGATTCGCCACCATCTTCACCAAATAAATTCAAATTAGACCTAGATCCTTTCAAATCTTATTTAGATAGTAAAGATAGTAGTAAAGATAATAAAAATAGTAAAGATAGTAGTAAAGATAATAAAAATAGTAAAGATAGTAGTAAAGATAATAAAAATAATAAAGAATATACTCCTCAACCGGTCGCCATGAATTCAGATGAAGCTAGTCAAGATTATCAAAAATACAATCCGTTCATAAATTCAAATTCACATAAAATTGGTAAACGTGATATCTATAAGGTTATTGTTGGCTCAAAGAATAAGAAAAATAGTTTACCATCCGCACAAGAAACCAGCACATATATGATGGAAATGGTAGAAACCAAGATTCCTGATAGACAAGATCAAAGTGAAAATTATTTAAATGATTATAAATATAAGGATAAAACTAGTAAATCTCGTGGACAAGATAGATCAACCCTACTAAAGTCCAATTCATCAACGAGAAAACCTGTACCAAATATAAGTTGCACTTCAAAGTCAAGGGAAACTAAATTATTTGATGAACATTATGCTTGCACTGTAGCATTAAGAAAGTCTGGATCTTTTGAGACTTATATATCGGAGGGAAGTTCCACAAAGAGATCTGTAAATAGTGGAAGACGTCAAAAGTTTAAACCTGTTCAATTACCACCATCTCCTTATAGCACAATTAGACCATCAAGAAATGCACTATCGACAACTTCAACACTCAAGAAGAATCCCTATATTGTGAAAAAAGTTTCTATTAAACAAAACAATCATGATCTTCCAGAGTACGCGACAACAAAGTCAAAAATGTCAATATTAGTTCCATATAATTTAAGTTCTTCTGAATATAAAAAAATGAATCGATCTGATCCAGATCTTTCGGCAAGATATCGAGATAATATATTTAACAAAGCATTTAGACATAATAACATGACTGTACCAGATTTCATGCGCCTAAATTATGTGAAAGAACAAAAACCGGATTTCAAGATGGCCATAATGACCGACGCTGATTCGGATCCTTCAGAAGTAACGAAATTTAGTATAGATCCATTTGATGAATCAGAATCTAATCAACTATTTAAACCTGGTGCACCTTGGATACATTTACCAAACCTTGATTCATTTATTAAATCGTTACCACCAACAGAGTTTACTAATCCAAAAGAGTTGATGACAACAGAAGAATATGAAAAATTCATATTAACGAGTGGTAAGAATAAGAGAGTTCATGCAGAATCTTTATTCCCACCAATGAATCAGGTTCCAAAAGGTCTTAGTCTTGATGATCTCAGGAATAATAAAACGAACTCCAAGTTTTCAATGTCTCAAGGATTTCAAAATGAACTCATAATGTCAGCTATTGATGGAGTTTTAGCCGCAGAACCTGCTTATGGTGCTAGATTCTTGAAATTAGAATTAATAAGAGATTTCATACAATTTTTGGCGTTAGTACTTGCTTTTGGAAATTCAGGTATACTAGGAGGTTGGGTGACGGTTGCTTTGGTTACAATTCCAAATTTGTTAAGCTTAAATTTGGATCAAGTATTCGGACATGGAACTATATTTTTCTTGTTGTTTTGTTTTATGAGTTTCTTGGGATTGTATTGGTTTAGACAAATGACTAAATATGATCCTAATGCGGATGTTGAGGTATATAGTTATTTTAGTTATTATTTATTTATTTTTTTAATTAGAACGAATCTTTCAATTTATATTTTTCTAATAGATAACATAATCTAAAAAAAAAATCAATTTTTTAAATGATAGGGATTCGAATCTTCGCCATGGAGTTTACGTCCAGAAACAAAACGATGGCAGAACATCGCCATAATATTCATTTTAACTACCCTTTACCTTCCGGCGGCAAAACTTTCTATTGACGTTCTTGTATGGGCAGACACATTTTGGCCTGTACCCAATCCATATTTGAAAACTGACAATCCAGTATTTGAAAAGGAAACCGGCAATATGCGAAATCCTGAAGATTTTTGTTATGTTACTAGTATGAATAAGGATGATTTGAATCTTTCTCCTGTGATAATTGTGGTGGCAATTTTAACACTTGCGGTTTTCACATTTTGGTTCCCTATTGCGTTAAAAAGGTTAGTTGACAAGAACATACCAAAGGTGGATGAATACAATGATATTGGTGAAGCTACTGATAGAAACGAAGAATATGAAAAGTTGTTGAAAAAGGATAATTGTCCTTATAATTTCTTGTATAATGGTGAGTTTTTTCGTAATTCTTTTATTTTTTATATTAAATATTTAAATCAAAATTAATAAGTTCTATGTATCAATTGCGAAACTATTTTTCTATGAAAATTTAGGTTATAATGAAAAATGGGCAACATACAAGACATTTATCATGGCCAATAAATTCTTTAGTATATTTTTGATTGTTTTAATTTCCAAGGATAATTGTTTATTCAGATTTGCACCAAGAATGCAGATTGAAGCAATAAGACAAATACTTCAAATATTTCTAATGGTAGCCCTTTTCATTATTCATTGGAGAAGTGAACCATTTATATATGATTCACAAAATACTAGTGAATATTGGTCACGTTTTGGATACGTGTTAAATACCTTACTTGGTCTTTTTACTGTTATTCAAATAGGATCTCCTAATGGAATAGGTATTGGAACGGGTGTAATGAATGGTTTCATTATAATTATTGTAATTTGGTACATAGTCAAGGAAACCGAAAGTTATCAAAGTATTAAGAAAAAGGTTACAAAAAAATTGGATTTTAGTTTGAATATTTATTCTTCAAAGTTGGATTTTGCAAAACAAATTAAAAAAAGAATTTGGCAAGAAACTTGGACCACGTTGTTGTTAACATCCGAAGAATTCAAAATGCCAAAGGGTAAAGTGATAGCTTATTCTCAAAGCCCATATCGACCTCCATATTTGCTAAATTTCTCGGGATCAGTAGCAGAACGTCATATAGAAAATCTAAAGATCATTAGACAAATAGGAATAAGAAATTATTTGTCATCTGCAGCACCATTACCATCTTCACTTGCTGAAATGAGAGCCAAAATTGTAAATAATTATGTTGGTCCTGACATGTATTATGCACCAGAATTATTATCGCTCAAGATAAAAACATGTTTTGGAAAAGCATATGTGGTACCTTTTCCATTTAGTGTAGTAATTGTATATGATGAAGATGAGAGTGTATTAATATTAACACAAGAATGGGAGATTACTAGATATTTGCAACAGAATGAAAATAAAGAAATTATGAGACGTAGATTGGTTCGACAAATGATCAGAGCTTTAGAAGGAGAAATCGTTATTGGTCCTTGTAATTATAAAGGAGATGTTAAATATATAGAAATGTATCATGGGATAGATGATAAGGTAACTTTATATATTTATATACATTTTTTATTTTGATTTTGATTTTTTTTTTTTTTTTTGAGATCATTATATATGCAAATATATGGCATGGGATTTACTTTTAAAATCATTATTATTTATTTTTAGACTGATTACGAAAATTCAGATATTCATTATCACCGAGGTCTTCTTCAGATTCGACGAAAGCAACAATCAAAATGGAAAAATTATAACATGAATCCTGGATTTGAAGTGACGATAACTTATTGTTCGGCTTCAATATGGAATTCTTCTTTAGGACCCAAACAACCAACACAAGAAAGAGTGGTTTCACATGATGTAATTGGTTTGACACCAGATTTTCAGATGACTCCACAATTAGAAAAATTATTAATGGATAATTATAAAATATTGGAGAAAGGACTAAAAGAAGTACAATCTACAATGGATGCATATCGAAAATTTTATAGGGATGAAGCTATAGCTAAAGAAAAGACATTATCTTATGAATTTTTCGTAAATGTTTATGACAATCCATCAATACCCCTTGAATCATTACCTGCTCTATTAATTAATACAGAAGAGAATCCAGCTATACAAGCTATACCTGAGGCAGAATATCCAACTTTAATATACTTATATGAACGAATTAGGATGGTTAATCTTTCAAGAGTACATCAATGGTGGTATTTGTTTTGGGAAGATTTATGGAGAAAGAATTATAAAGAGATTTCCGAATTGGCTAAACATCCACAAGATTTTTCACCTGCTTACCGAACAAGTATATGTTATAGACCTATGGTAAGGTTAGAATTGGAAGAATTTTTAGAAAAAAGAGGATGTTGGAAGAATGATGGGAAGAGTGGATTTTTGAATAGTGGAGTTTTGAATAGGATATATTTATATTTGAATAATGTAGTGTTTGAAGGACATGATGATTCATATAAAAAGAATAGTAGTAAAAATGTATATGTTAATGATGAGAAGAAACCAATATGGAACTTAATGAAAGGAAATACTATTGATAGCAATAGTGAATACAACATGATTGCAGGAAATGTCAAAAGGACAATGAGAGAAAGAGTGCTATTGATGAGAAATTTAATGGTGGGAAAAAAGACTAAAATCCAAAGAACAAGACCATTTTTCATATTAGAAGAAGAAGAAGAAGAAGAAGAAAGGGAAGAGGATGAAGGGGAAGGGGAAGGGAAAGGGGAAGAGGATGAACGAATAGAATTCGAGGACATTGATGTTGGGGCAGATAGTGATGGTGTGAATTCTGCAAGTGATGATGAAACTTGGTATTAGAATTTAGTGAAAAATAAAACAAAATTTAATATATTTAATTAATATATTTAAATTTTTAGTTATTTATTTATTTAATCTAATATTATTATTATTATTATTATAGATTTTAAAATTTTGTTAATATAAAATATATATATATTTATACATTATTTACATAATTCTATTTAATTACATATATTTATTTGTCTTCCTCTTTTCTTATTGTCTTCTTTAATTACATATCGCATACATCAATAATTAAATTAATTAATTTCAATTTCTGTATTTTTAATTTGGTTTTGTAATAACATAAAAAATTTACTTTTGTTAATATTTATTTATTATTTATTTGTATTTTACTTCAATTTATATTTTTATATTTATAATACTTAATAATAATAAAAGTACTGGATACCGTTCATATATAATTGTCTTTTTATCTCCCCTTAATACTTAGTGTACTGTACGTAACGCACCACGCGTTTTATTATCTGAAATAAAGATAATATTTGCTTATTTTTTTTTTTTGATCTAATTGTAAAAAAATATTTATTATTTTTATATTATCATCTATATAGCTTGAAATATATTTTCAAGTACACAAGAGAATCCCAATAAGTCAGCGAATGAAAGAATTATAATATTCAATTGATTATTGTTTCTGAAACTATTAATATATTTTATTTATATTTAATATATTTTTATTTATATTTAATATATTTTTATTTATATTTTTTTTATTATTAGCGAATTAAGATTATCACGTGAAATTCCCACAAATATCGAACTAAAATAGGTTATTATTTTAGGTTTAGACTTTCTTTTTACATTTATTGTTTTTATTATTTCATTTGGGGAAATGCGATGAATAAAGGTTAAGTATAAATAATAAAAATAATATAATGGATTACATATTTTTGATGTAGTCACGATTTACAAGTTACAATTTTACAAAGCAGATTAAGCTGTATTCATGCAGTTCAGTGTAAAAAATTATCTAACTAATGTGTAATACAAATAATACAAAAAAAAACATTTCACATCTTTTTTTATTTTTTAATATCTGAAGAATTTCCAGTATTAAATTGTTTTTCTTACCTCTTGAATCTTTTTTCTTGTTTATAAAAAAAGAAATTTTTTACTTATTAATTAAAATTTATAAAAAAAAAAATGAGCGCATCCAATAATTATAATAACAATTATTCTAATAATAATCATAATAATAATCAAAATTATCTTGACGACCTTCCGTCACCCTTACTGATTCCTTCTGATATTAATTATCGTAAAAATAATAGTAATGGAGAATTATCTGATATACATAATCATGTTAATAGTTTAGCTAGAGACGTCGTTCACGCTCGTCTGTCTAAATTTCGTGGCCATTCCCGTATTATGACTTTATCTACTGAACTTGTTGCTCAATTCGGTAACGATTTTTAATATTTTTTGATACCTGGGTTCTCTATTGATGTGATTTTGAACGATTTAATGTATGCTGAAATCTTGTATTATTATTTATAATTACTTACATATCAATTTATTTTTTGTTATAATTAAACCATTTAAATTTATAATAAAATATCTATATATATCAATAATTTTATCAATTAGTCAAAGATTATGACCGTCTTTCCAAAGATTATAATGATCTTAATGGAAAAATTGAAACTTATGAAAAACAAAAATCGACCTTAACTCCTACAAAGTTGGAGGAATTTATCAAAATATCTGATAAAGTAATTAAAATAAATGAACAAACAATTAAAGATCTTGATCAAAGGCATGAATTCTTTGAAATGACAAGAAAAGCTATTGATCAGAAGTATGAATTGGATAAAATGTCAAAAAGAACTCTTGAGATTCAAGATGAAATTATAAAAGGGCTCGAAAAAAGGCATGAATCTATTCAGGTTGCAAGGAAAGAAACTCCTGACGTTAATCATGAAGCTATGAGCGAAAAAAGTGAGAAAAGTATCTCCAAAAGTGAATCCAGTAATTATAGTGCGAGACGACGTGAGAGCGACACAAGTGAAAAATTTACTAATCAAAATGAAGTTAAGAAAAATTATAATGAGCGTAACAAAAATAATGATAAAAAAAAGTTTAGGTCGAATGATAAAGAAGAAAATTTCGGCATCGGAAATTATACTTATGAAACAAACGAGTCAAATGCCGAAATAGGTGAGAGTAAAAAAATTAATAAAACAAGGAATGATAAATATAATTGGGATACATTCCTTAAGAATGGAAATTGGGATAAGAATGGAAATTGGGATAAGGGAAGTGAGGGAAATGATAGTCAAAATTGGGGAGATGAAGTGAATGCGCAATGGGATATGAATAAACGGAAAGAAGAAAATAATTGGGGAATTAAGGACAATAGTGAAACAGAAACGGATTCTACTATTCACAAAAATAATGAGAAATATCGCAAGAATGATCAAAGAGTTAAAAAGAGTATGAATAATTGGGATAGTTTAAAAAAGGATAATAGGGATCGGGTGAACGACGTAAGGGATAATAGTAAAAATCAAAGATGGTCTAAAAGGGACAATAATTTGAAAGAAAAGATGAATAGATGGGATGACGGTAACAATGAAAAATGGGATAAAAAAGATGATAATATGGTTTTTGACTGTTTAGAATGAAATATTAATTTTGATTTATTGAATTGAAGTATATTTTAATTAATTAATTAATTTGCGTTGAAGGTTTTATCTTTTTGTTTTTTACTTGGCTTCAGGACATTTATGAGTTTTTTTATTTTACCTAGCATGTGACATGACATACCTCCATAAAATTGATGGTATATTCCCTGGAAAATTTATTTAGTTACGACGATATTAAATCTTGTCAAAGATTTAAAGATTTGAGATGGAACTTTTTTATACAAATTTAAAAATCGTGATTTTTAGATAGTTTACAATTTTGGAAATTATTTGTCATGAAATATTTTCAATAAAAATAGGTCGAACATTAATGATTTTTTTAGTGTGTTCAATAACGGTCGGAACTTGAGCCAAGTCACTAGTTTTGTGTAACACTAGTTTAAACAAGTAATAATATACGTAATTATTGTTTTACTGTACGTCATATAGCGTATATCAATTTTGATTTCACACTATATATATTTTAATTGTAGATGTACTTAGATAACTTTATTGCGCAAAACATTAAAACATTGTATAGTGAGACACTTATAAAACTATCTAAATATACAAATGTTAAAATAGCGGGTAATACATAATATAAAAAATAACCCGTCTTTCATCACTAGAGATTGCTAAAGTAGAGTTATACAAAAAAAATGTAACAGGTCGTTTAAACAACAAAAACAAGTGAAAAAAATAAAAAAGTTATTAGTCCAGAATTCCAGTTTCTTCTTTTCTTCTCTTGATCATTATTTATTTGTAGCATTATGTAAATAAATCGATCATCGAAATCATTTTTTTAAACAACAACAAAACAAAAAACAAATGAAAAAAATTAAAAGCTTATGCATCTCATTGTTAGTCCGGAATTCTTGTCTTCCCAGCAAAAATAATTGAAACCATTTTTCTGGTTCACTTTATATATATATATATATTTATTTATTTATTTATCGTTATTGATAAATTATTCCTCTATATACATTTTATTATATCCATTGTATATGTGAAAAAAATAAATAAATTAATGCTATACAGATATACAGAACAGATTATGATATAACTTACCTTTAGTATTATCTATTTTATAGAGGTCAATTTCATTATTTCACGTAGATTATTTCTTGACCGGAATGAAATTTCTCAAGAGCAATACGAAACTTAATCTATAGTATTAATATCTACCTTGATTTGGTAAATCGCTCGCGTGAAATCCGTAAGACACGTGAGGTTAAATTATTTCTGATAATAATAGAAAATAACTGAAATACTTTATTCATAAATTATTTTATACTAGAATATACTTACTTTACTTTCTTATAAACTAAATAACTAATGACATAAATAAGGTCTCTTAGGACATTGACACAAAAAGAGGAACTTTGAACAGAAATGAAGGTGGAAAATAAGATCTATCAGTTATTTTTAATAAAGAACTATTTTATGTTATTGTTATTTTTTTTGTGCGAAAAAACAGTATAATATTAAAAATTTACTGTAGCAATAAATATAATAGTTCTTCAGTATAAAGCGTGTAAAACAAATATTCTAGTTCAGTGTAAAAAGCAAGAAAGTGATTTGGATCGGCAAAAAAATTTACGTATTGTGTAACATACGAAAATAATAAACAAATAATACGCGTTCAAATTAGCAAAAATTTAAAAAATTTATATATGTATAGAATTGAAATAAATTCTTTGTTTTGTATGCAATTTGATAGATTAATATCACGAAATGAATAATATCTCATTAACGCGTAATGCAGAAATATATAAAATTGATTAATGGTTTATTAATATAAAAATTTAATTGTGAAAATAATTATTCAATTAATTTACAGTAAATAAGAACTTAAAAATGTAGTTGATCTCGATTAACAAGATTTGTATCGGTAACCACTTAATTATGAATGGAATAAATATGAATAGAATAAGTATTAATAAAATAAATATGAATAATATGAATCAAATAGTTTTAAATTAAATGAATTATATTTACATGCAATAATAAATTGAATTGAAACATGACGGAATTTCCCTTTAATTGGTTTTATCTATTATCTTTAAAATTCACCTTTAGATATTTCGTGCAAACAAATGATGTCATTTGATGTTCATATAAATTATGTTCGAAAAACAGTAGAAGAATAATCTGGTAATATATTATAGCTCTATCAATATGACACTTATATTTGATATATAAATTTTATGTAACGAGATAATCAAAGGGAAATGACTTAGAGATCTTCAACTTCATCAATATAAAGTATCCTATTTTTCACATCTTCCCAGAATTTCCGTAGTTCCACCTCATTTTCACAAAAACTTTGAAATTCTCTCAATAAAACATCAGGATTCACTTGAAGATTTGATAAGATCTTGTTGTGATGTGTAGTAAACAATCGATTGTTTACCCATAAATACCCTTCTCCTGGATTACATATTTGTATGAATGCTACACCTGAACGATGTATATATTGTGAATATTTGTATGGAGTTTTAAAATATGAATATTTGATTTCGATATCGTCTGGAAATCTACTATCTGCTTCAACATCCAATATAAACTTAAAACGTTTCGCCAATTGTGTCTCAAAATATAAATGTGGATTAATGGTTGGATGTAATTTCTTTCCTGGTAATTCCAAAGTTGGTGGTTGTACTGCTAATTTTATTGCTACAGGAGATTGAAATGGATTATTTTCGGTTAAACTCATTGCTTGTTCAACAGGTACTTCCACTAATTTCAATCCTTTTTTTTCAGTTGCATTACTCCACTTTTTCAACATATCTTCTATAAGGCGTGCAGTGCATCCAAGCCAATTTAATTGAATATGATAACAATTATCTGGATTATGAATTACATCATAATGTAAAATTGCAGTTTCTCTTCGATCACTCGTTTTCGATGGATCAATATCAATTAGCATTGCTTTACTTAATTCGATGACTGGTTTTTCGATTTTCTTTTGATTATTCACATTTGATTTTTTTTCCGATAAATTAATGGAATTATTCGTAGGATTATTGTCGTCTTTACTATTGTCGTCTTTGTTATTGCCGTCTTTGCTATTGCCATCTTTGATATTACCATCTTTGATATTACCATCTTTGATATTGCCGTCTTTGATATTGCCATCTTTGATATTGCCGTCTTTGATATTGCCATCTTTGCTATTGCCGTCTTTGCTATTGCCGTCTTTGATATTGCCGTCTTTATTACCATCGTCTTTATTGCTGTCTTTACGATGGTCATGATTAAATAAGGCCATAAACCAACCCTTTTGCGGACGTCTCGGGGCATAATTCTCTTTTATTTGATAAAAAAAATGTTCATCTGAGAATTGATGTCTTTTAGTACAATGTTCAATTAATCCTTTTTCTTGCATCTCATTTCCAAAATTTACTGCATCTGGTCGACTCTCGATATCAGAAAATTTCTTTAACAACCAATCCACAAATTCATTTCCAACAATAGCATTTTGATATACCTTCGAATGCCAATGACGATCCTTAACTATCCCTTCAGCTGGATTCAACATGGCTTGAATTATTGCGACTGGATTTGAATCTTTAGTGAGCCTATGATCCGTTGGATTTACAGACATTCTTCTCAGATATGAACTATCGGGTGTTTTAACGAAAATCGATGGATCAAGAGTAGTAATTTTCAAAGGTGTAATGCTCTCCCGATTATTTGCTTCTGTTCTCATATGTGGCGGAAACCAAGCAGCTTTTTCAAGTAAATCTATAAACCTGTAAATTCCATTTACCCTAACTTCTTCAGCATCTAATGTTTCATCTGCTGTATTCATAGTATCAGGAACATTATCCATCGGTATCAGTAGAAATCTTGTTCTCCAAAATTTCAATGGTTCCAAAAGATCATTATGATATCCACAAACCAATTGATCTACATAATTCCATTTGTAATCTGTATGAGGATAGCTAAAATGAACTTTCCTTGGTTCATAAATTTTTTGACATCTAGGCCATACAACACAAGAATAAGGAATAAAATTTGAATCGGTTTGAATTTTTCGTATATATATTCTAACTTCCACACCTTGTCCAGGTAAATATGTTAATTTATGGACATGACGCCCCATACTAAGATAATATGGATGAGATATGTCTAATAATTTAGATAAATTTTCTTCAGGATTTCCGAAACTTGATGAATTATCTAGGGTTTCTGAGTTAACCGATAACCTTTGTTTCTTTATAGAATCATTCATCATATAGCTAGATGGAACTATTAACTGATATCCTTGAGCTAATCTTTGACATATCATCTCTTTTAACAAGTTCTCTGTTTTAACCTCTTCAGTTACAGTTACATATTCCGAATCCTCCAAAGAGATAGTATAAGTATTTTCAGAATACAATCCGGCTTCATTAATCGGTGGAAAATAATCAGTTGTCACAGGAAGACAAGCTGGAGTGCACAGTGATGTCCATTTTACAGAATTCTTTGATAATGGTCTAGGAAATACATGTCTCCATCTTCTTAAATGTGTACCAAATCCATGTCGATTGGAACTCTTGGAAGGATTACAAGGATTAACCAAGGTAGATCGATAATGTGGTCCAGAAGCTATAACTCCTAGTGTTTGCTTTGGAAAATATCTACTTTTATCACTTGAATATGAGCCTTTTGCAGAATCAGCAAAACTTCCTGACGGTGATGAATCATTTACGGTACTTCTTCGGCTTCTTTGTGAATCAGGTATAGGCATTGGCATCGTATTGCTTGATGTAAAAGATGATTCATTATCATCCTCTGTTTGATTTTTACCTTTAAAATTTCCTTCTTGAAAGCTTTCATGTGAATGTGACCTGTATAAACCTTTTTCTCTGTTGGAAGAATTTGTCATTGGTTCAATTAAATTACTTCCCGATAATCTTGGAGTTTTAAACACATGATTACTTTGACGATAATGATCATGATGCATGTTAGATATCATAAGACTAGTCAAAGTTTTTGGTAAACTTCTCGATAATTCTGTTGGATGATTTTTTGAATGTTGCGATTGTAATGAAATCAGATGATCATCATTATATCTTAATTGTGCGAAATCATGTGGACGTGTAAAATCCAAATTATGGGATATATTACTAAATTGTTTCAATTTATTTGTTGATGGAGCAGAAAAGACTTGTTCGTCATATTTCTCTATATCGTCTGATGAATCATTTAAATAAGGTATTAAAATTGAAGATATCTCGTGTTCCATTATGCCCATCATTTGGATTTCATACATTTTACATCGTGTCATAAACTTATCAGGTTTGAATGGATTATCATAATGTCTTGAATAGAAACTACAATCTATCCAATCCGGAGTCTTGTAATATGTATGCTTTGCTTCCATTGGCGATTCATCATAATCTAGAGGATCTCGTAATTCTGGTTTCATTAAATCTTTGACTTGTTGCGATTTATGACCAAAGGTTTTCTGATCAAACCATTCTGGGATTGGAGCTTTTGAAAGTTCTAATGATTTAAATTTGAACAATGGCACAGTGTGAAGAGGAATCTTTGATAGACAAACAAGGTCTAATCCTATACCATTATCAATAAACCGTTCTGTTGTAACTCTTAAAGTTTTTTTGTCAACCTCATATCTTCCGCATCCAGGTGTCACTACGACAATTGATAATCCTGTACGTAATAAATCTCTATCTACATAATGTTTATCAAAAGGATTCATTGCCAAATTTATAGCTTCTAATATATTACCCTCAAAGGCATAAGAATTTTTTCCCGAAAGAACTTTATAAACTCCATCATCACGTTTTTTTTCCCTCAATAATATGCTTGGTTGATAATTTAATAATTCATTCTTTAATTCCTTTAGCGCTGTTGACCAATCAGACCTTGTCTCCCAGTCAACTATTACTTTATAGAAATCTTTGTACAACCTTTTCTCGTGATCATTAATAACTGTACTATCATGCCATAAATCAAGATCACCCTTTAAATCCTCATCGTAATCATAAAAAATTCTTGAAAATAAAACTATTGACACGACATGATTTGTTCCCATCTCTTTCCAATTATGAAATAGTTCAGTAAAAAATCCGACAGCTTTTTCATAATATAATTCACCATCTTCATCAAATTCCCACATTTCTCTAGACATTTGCACAAATATGAATAACTTTGCGGATTCAGATCGAAAGATTGCTTTTGTATTTTCAGTTATCATTCCACATTTTACCTATTAAAATTATGAAAATGATGAAAATTAAAAATTATGTAATAGAATTCATCTGAAATTAACATGAAATTAATATGAATTAATATGATTATACTTGTTCTCCCTTGACATATATCTTTTTTACTTGAGCCCGAATACAGCTAGCAAATTCAATTCGTTTATCTTGATATACACAAGTATTCTTAAGACTTCTAGCTAATCGCCACATATCACTTCTTCCAATATATTGATCACGAAAACAAAATTCGATATAATCCGCTTCAACAGATTTTTCAGAAACCTGTAATATTTAAAGATGTTATTTTCAATTTGGGTAATTATGTAGAGGCAAATATGTAAGTGGTTATTTAGGTATGTGGTTATATAGGTTATATAGGTAAATGATTATTAAATAAATAAATAGAACTTGCCTCAAGAACCATAACATTAAACCATTTTAAACCAAACGCAGCAGCAACATCAGATGATATTGAAATCTAAATGATTAAAAAATGTAAAAAATGTAAAAAAGGAATTTTAGCAATTTTTGAAATTTTATTTATCTATCAAATTTTATGAATTGAGTCTTAAAAAGTTATGTACCTGCGTGGGTTTATCTATCGTTACTTTATCAAAAGGGTTAACCCGGACAATCAAATTATTTCTAGTATCTGGTTCCTCATTCTGAGGAACTATCATTAATAATTGTCCAGGCCTAATACCTGGAAAGCAATCTGGATTTATGATAAATTCTTGTTTGGAATTTTCGGAATTATGTATCCCAAGTTTCAATGCTTTCTTCAATGATGGCGTAGAGGTAGTCATGTTCGTATTTATTGTATTTATTGTATTTATTGATGAAATGGAACCGACAATAGCGGATGGATAAGTGGGATGTTGTGAACCAATATTTGGGGAGAATGAGATGGATATTTGTGAACTTGATTTTTGCTGATAGGGTGATTGTTGAGGATTTACATATGAATTTTGAGAATTTTGGTGAAAAGAGGTATTGGAAGGAATTGTAAAAGCAACCGCTTCCATCCTTTTATTATTTCAGAAGGGAGTCTCCTATTTATAGGTAAAGGTTTTGAACGCTGAGAAAAGTTGATGAAATTGATGCTAGAAATATAACGTTGGTTTCTTTACTATAATGAATTATGGTCAAAAAAAAAAATCTTTGTTGCATAATTCAAATAATTTCAAGAGAATTCAAGAGAATTCAAAATAATTCATGAAATAAAATAATTATCACAAAATGTGCTACAATTCAAGCCTTTCTTAGAATTATGAATAGTGCGTGCAAATAAAAAAAAAATTTTAGCGGTCATGAGAGTTATTTGTTGATAGCAAGGATTTTGTAGTCGTAAATAAATAAAAATTAAAAAATCGATAATTTTGAAAAGAGAATGCTTTGTTTATGATCGGAGTTACACAGTCGTTCCCATATTTATTCAAATTAAATTGTTTTATTTGGAATTAATCTAAAGAAATATTTATAATGAGGATGAAATTCTTTCATTCAAAATTGTAGATCAAAAAATGTAGTGTATATTAACTTCAGTACTTTTTATCCTAGAAATTCTATTTCATATAAATTGTTCAAGTGAATTTATCAAGATCTTGTATAACTAAAATTATTAAATCCAGTCCAGTCTAATGAGCAACTCCAAAGAATCTTTGATAATCAAAATTAAATCAACTGTTAATGTAGATTTATAAAAATCTCAAAATTTTTTGAGAATATTTGAAATATTTAAATTTCTTAATTACACAGCTAAAGAATATAATATATATTTAATTATATTCAAAAAAAAAAATTCTGAAATTCCAGTTAATAAATTTCATTAAATTTCAAAAAAAAAAAAAAAAAAAAAAAAAAAAAAAAAAAAAAAAAAAAAAAAAAAAAAAAATAAAAAAAAAAAAAAAAAAAAAAAAAAAAAAAAAAAAAAAAAAAAAAAAAAAAAAAAAAAAAAAAAAAAAAAAAAAAATCAAAAAAAGTGAATATTAATAATAATGAAGATGATGATCATACTTACAATATTTATAATGCTTACATTTATTTTATGGTGAAAGTAAATTGTTATAATCATATTTCTTTTTATCAAGTAACCTTTCTTTCTCACCATATAATAATTTGTATGAATTTTTAATTGTAACTTCCGAAACACCTGTAACTTGCGCAACATCTTTTGTAGATTGTGGTTGATTATAAAGACATGAAGCCATATAGATACAAGCTGCTGCAACTGAAACAGGTGATTTTCCAGCTAAAGTACCTAATTCTTTTGTTTTCACGGTAAGTTCAAGTGCGGTTTTTTGTATTTCCATTCGAAGTTTTAACATTGAACAAAATCTTGACATCAAATCTTCTGATGTCATAGTTGTTACGTTTGTTTCGAATGTACGAATCAATGTTTTAAAACAACGTCCAATTTCTTTTTTTGGAACTCTAGTTATTACACAAATCTCTTTAAAAGTACGGGGAACATTTTCTTGTCTACATGCTATAAATATACAAGCGGCAATAATTGATTCAGTACTTTTACCCCTTAAAAGTTTCTCTTCCTCTACTCTTTTATATAATTGTTTTGCGATATCAGCAATTAACCTTGTTAAGCCAATAGAATCACTCATTGCAGTTATTTGTTGATAAGCTTGAATAAGATTTTTTTCACCCTTAACAGCGTTAGCTTTACCATGTATTTTATTAAGATCTCTAGCAGTACCTGAACCACCATCTCTTCTTGAAATTACAGTATCTAATTGTGAACCATCTAAAAGTGGATTAGCAGCTGAACCAACGCGAGATGGGTCATCACCATCATCATTAGCAAAAGTTCTCCATTCAGATCTTGTATCAATAATACGATCACCAAGAACCAGACCACAATCTCCGCAAACAAGGTCACCACTTGCGAATTCTTCGACAATATTTGGTATTTGTTGTTTACAGTCTGGACAAATTAATCTAATATTTAAGTCAGGTAAAATTTGTTTAGGACCCACATCAACTTGAGGTTTTAATCGCGGAAAAGGAATATTTGACATTTTTTTTTTCACAAATTTATTGTTTTTTTTAGTATTAAAGATGAGATGGGAGATGCATTAAATTTATGCGCAATGCTACGTCGAATTTTATTGGTTATTATGCATGTCATGTATGCTATTAAATATTAATTCTTTTCTTTATATTGTTGAGGCAAAGGGTTAAAATGATCTACGTAAGATCTACATAGGGTCGGTGTTGCTAAAATAAATGGTATCATTTTAATTTTAATTTTGAAGGCGAATTTCATAAATACATAGTAAATCCATCTTTTCATTTTTATACTCTTACTTTATTTATATTTCTTTTTTGGTAATAAAATAAATAAAATCGAAAAGATCATTTTAAAAAATAAGATATTTAGAATTATGATGAATTTAGAACTAATTTTCCGAGATGAAAAATTTACTGTTGTTTGTCTTATTAATTATAAATACATATTCCAATTTTGATTAATTGTCCAATTTTCTTATGCGCGAATCGCGAATCAAAGAAATCATAATGCTGTTATTTCATAACTTCCTTCAAATATCCCGAATAAAAAAAATATATATATTATGTTTTCCCGTTTTATTTCTCAATTTTGACATGTCTAGCCCAATCATTTGGATTATGACCACCTAATATTTCTCAATCTTTTACTTTAAAAAATTAATAATGTATTCGTTTTCGGTTTCAGCGAAACGATCAGTGTGATCTTGTCTTTATTTAATATAGTTTCACGTATTATTATGGCATACTATTCTAAAATAAAAACTGACAACAGTTTAAAACTATCAATAATGTATTTATTACTTTTGAAATTTTTTCAAAAAGACTGCAATTGAAAACAAGTGACATTTTGAATTTGAATATAATACTAAAGTAATAATTATTATATTCACATGACCTAATGCAAAATATTAAATATCGTCTGGTATAATTTTTTCATATTTCCGAGAGGATAAAAATATTTTTTTAACTCTGGTAGACACTTGCAAATGTATAAAACATCATAAAACACATGTAACACAAAACACATGTGACACAAAACATATATAACCAATTTACATGAATAAAAGATACATACAACTGTTTTTAGAAATTAATTACAATTCAATCTACTAACACAAAATTTTACAAAAAAAAAAATCAATCTACACTGCATTGCATAAATTATTCAAATTACAACAAATTTCATTAATCAATATTCATCTATTAAGACATAATATAAATTTAATGAACGTGATTATTATATTAAATTGTAGATCTCTTGGATTATATCGAAGAATATATTTCATTAGCTGCTAATAAAGAAATAAGAAAAATAAAAAAAAAAAATAAGAAAATAAGAAAATAAGAAAATAAAGAAAATAAAGAAAAATAAGAAAAATAAAAAGAAAAAAGTATACAAACCAATAAATTCATGGTCCAATAATAACTTTTCTGAAAGCATTTGGTTTGTTTGCTATTTCCAAAGTTAAGATTGTTTAAGATTGTTTAAGGTTGTTTAAAAATTTTTGGGATTTGTTTAAGGATTGTTTAAGGGATTATTTAGGATTGTTTAGGGTTAGGTTAAGTTAAACAGAAGAAAGGAGAGAAAGAGAGAATATTATTTTTTCAAAATTTAAAAAAAATATCTACCATATTTCGAATAAGAAGCTCGATATGCCATAATTTTTGATGGTGAAGCTAAAAAAAAGTTTATTGAATAAAATTAAATATATTATAATATATCAAAGAAATATATATATATATTATTAACATCTTCACATTTTTTTAATATTTTTTTTACCTTTATTGTATGGATGATGGCGATGTCGTTTTGGAAGAACAGGATTTTTTTTAGGTCTTTCGGGTAAAATGAAATTCCATAATATATCTTCATATAGATCAGTTGGAAAGATTGGTCTATATGGTGATACTTTTGAATCAAATTCTTTGGCAGACATTTGAAAGAATCGAATATGTGGAAGAAATTTTTGTATATGATTACTTAAACTATCAAAATCTCTTTGCGTCCAGTCAGTAACATCATCCGGTAATAATTCATCTTGAGAGATTCCCCATAATGATATACGATACCAAATTTCTGATTCATCCATTTTAAGTTCATCCTTTTTTAAAATTGCCAAAATTATTGAAGAATCTAAATGATAATAGAGAGGTGATTCAAAAAGCATCCAAGGATTACTACAAATTACTGAAATACAATTATCTTGAAGTGTTTTCCATCCTTCATTTTGAAATGATACTTTTAAAACTTCTACTGGATGATTTTGTATTAATGTTGTTTTATTTTTTATCAAATAATTTTCAACATGTTCTGTAAGTGTTGGTAAGATAAGTTCATCTGCTGCCGTTAAAATACCAAGAATGTGATGAATTGATTTCCCTGTAAAATTTATTTCTGATGAATACATATATCTATAAATAAAATAAATAAGATAAATGTTAAAAGAGAAAATTATATTTTGAAATATTATATTTTAAATATTATATTTTAAAATATTATTTGAAGATTGTTTAATAATTAATTAACAGTAAATTATAATTTAATTGATAGTTAAAAAAAAATTAACAATTATTAATAATTCAATTGAATTAATAATTAATAAAATATAAAAATATTTACATAAGAATATCATTAAATATATCTGGAGAAATATTTGGTTTTTCCAAAACAATTTTTCCATCTTTCATCTTACACCATTGGGTCGACAATGCAGTTTGAAAATAAGGTGTTTGAGCACGTAGGATAAGTGAGTGTGCACGAAATATCGTGATCTCTTCTCCCTTACCAACAGTAATAGTTACATCACAAGTATCTTTATCCTCAAGTAATGATATATAATTATGGGATATACTTTTCCATAATTTTTCTTCCATCTTTTTATTTTTGAAAAAATTAATAATAATAATATCAGCTAAACTTGGGAAAAAGGAAACAAACCAAAAAAAAAGACTTAATGTGATTTTTTTTTACTGGGTCTTAAAAATGAATTTATTTTTATGTCACACAGGCATGACGAATACAAAAGATATCACGTGTAACTATCTAATTTAAACATAAGCTCATGTTTTTGCTAAAAGTAAAAAAGTAACGATACGATTTTCAATTTACACATTAATTATTTCGACGTTATATAGTAATTGAAGTAAATTAAATAAAATTGAAATAAATATAATTAAAATATAATTATAATATTTAAAGTCGAATTAAAATTGGGTAAATAAATTCGATCTTTATTAAAATACATTAATTATTAAACAAATAAAATAAATAAGTAAATTAAAGAAATCAATAGAAAATTCAACTCCTTCGACATCCTTCGTTCTCGTCATTCAATTTCTATCATGTCGCTTAGACCAAATGTATTTATTTGTTCATCAGACTTTAAATAAATATTATATTTTTTTTTTTTCAATCAATAATAATAATCAATAACAATCAATAAAAAATTATTTAAACATTTATTCTTAAATTAAAGACAATGTGCTATTCAATTATTATTTCAATTATTAATTGAATTTTTATAACTTTAAATTCATCGATATTTAAAAACAATAAAAAAAAATCCATTATATAGCAATAATTACGATAATCGATTTCACTCGTTTTTGTTTAATATAATAAATTTTTATTTGGGTACCTGTCAGCTACTATTTTCAAAAAAATAGTACCCAGGTCACACGGCGAGGACGTCGGTACCCTTCGTGACCCAGAGAAAACTATTCTAAAAAAATAATCATTTTATTTTTTTGTTTTTTTATTTAATTTTATCCCCTCATCCACAACAAACAATTATCTTAAAATTTAAATTTAGAAAGAATAAATATTACAAAATTTAAAAATAATTAAAAAAAAAAAATTAAAGACACATAAATCTTATATGCAGCCCATCAAAAAAAATAACAGAGAGCTCCAGTTCTTGAATGGTAACCACTATCTTTCAAAATATTGATTAAATTTTTTTTTTTCAGATATTGATAAATATATTTTATTACCAGCTAAAGATACCTGTTATAATTATTTACAAGAGTTGCAACTAATTGTGTTATACATCTTAATTAATTGTGCCATATGTCATAATCATTAAATGAAGTACAAAAGGAATAAACCCAATAAAAAAATGATTTTTTAATAATTTCCATAAGTCAAAAGGCATATTACCAAATTGTGTACACATGTCATCTAGAGAATTATAAATTGTGTGATATATTCTAAAGCCATCAACCATCATTCAAGACTAGAGCATTTTTACTAACTACTAACTGTCAAGCTTAGAGTTAAAAAGTGCTTTCTCAAAGTAAGACAGTAGTCCATTAATTGACATTGATGGCAAATCTGCATATAAGTTTGTCATATGGACTTGGATGGAATTTCTCTTTTGATATTTTAAAATTTGACAAGTATATTCTAAAAAACATTGTATTCATATAATATTTGATTTTCCTTGGAGTTAATCCATTTCACATAACTGTAATATTTCATTGTTGTTATTGTTGACTTCTTCTTTTTCTATCTGGAAGAAGACAAATCACAGCAGGTGAGAAAGGTCCAACATCTTTCACTTGGAGCCCTAATCTTCATAAGGGTAATTAAGTAATTGGTGCCATTGTCAAAAATAAAAAACTATATCTAAGGGGATAACTATTATAAAAATACTAATGAAATTAAATGTTCAAAATCTAAAATAAATGAAATTTTTATTTCCTATGTTTTTTTTGTATTTTTTTGATATAATAGTAGAGAGATATAATAAAACACTTGAAATGACAAGAAAAAGTGTGAAGGAATAAAAGGTACAAATATTCTTTTTATAAATTTTTTTGTTTACTTATGTATATTATCAATAAAAATATTGATTGGGAATAGATGTCACAGGTATAATGAGCTTCAGTTCATATTTGATATTAATCATGCACTGAAATTAGTGACTGCACTTAGAGATAATTTCCTTATTATTATTTTTGATGAGTGAGTAATTAATACAAATATTAATTTAATGTAAAGAAATTTATATAATATATAATCAAATTAATCAAATTAATCAAATTAATTGTTATGGTTAAGGTTTTTTTTTTTTTTTAAAAAAAAAAAAACATTTAAAATTTTGATCTTTTGATCTTTTAATCTACATATGAAAACAAACCACATTAATCATGTGACCACATAATGAATTCAAAGCATGTGAACGTATTTTTATAACTATTACTATTTTATACTATTTTCCTTTATTGTGCATAATATTATGAATTTCAAATTCAAAACATGATGCGAAAAGAATAAATTTGATTATTACAAAAAAAAAAAATAAACAATTATTTCAAAATAATCTTAATGTATTGTAATTACATAATTTATTACATGTGATATGATATAATCAAATATTCTTAAATCTAAATTTATACAATTAACGTACAACTAACATTTTTTGTCATTATACACGAAATTACATGATTATAATAACCACCCAATACAAATATTCAATATTCAACAATATTCAACAATATTACAATATTATCACAACTCATTACCAATTGTTACCCAATAATCACGTAAATTGTTTTTTCTACCAAATATTTCTAAATAATTTCCTGTAACATGCACATATATAAATATATATATACATTATATATTATACAGAATAAAAATTAATAAATTAATAAATTAAAAATTAATTATAAAAATTAATATTTTTTACCATTTGGAACCAAATCTTCAATCATTTCATATAATTCTTCAGGTTTTTGACTTTGACCACGTCTTTCTGAAAATATTACATCTGAAGAAATGGAATGATTACATTCTGGTGGATCATCTCCCTAATTATTATTATTATTATTATTATTATTATTATTATTATTATTATTATATTATTATTATACTTATTAATATTGACTATTATTATTATTATTATTATTATTAATTATGAATTCTTTCAGAGATATGTTGAAAAAGACAAAAACCTTTCTTCCCATTAGACAAGTTTCTTTTGCATGTTGTAAATAAAATCCATGACCTTTGGCCATTCTTCTATTTACAGTTTGTTTCACCCAAGTGATATCATCACAATACCTTTTACAATGTTATATATATATATACATTAAATATATATCTATCAAAAAAAAAAAAAAAAAATCAAAAATAAGATTAAATATTTACTTACGTGTAACCCCATTTTTTCATCATTTCAAAAGCTTTAGAATATTTATTATTTATCACCCAGATAAACAAGAATCCATTTTTTTGTAATTTAGGTATTGGTAATTCCTCTATACAAATATCTGGTAATTGTTGATATGCTATTGCCACCTTTTTATTTATAGGATAAAAAAATAATAGAATATAATAAAATAATAGAATATAATAAAATAATATAATATAATAAAATAATATAATATAATAAAAATATAATAAATTGAATAATAAAATCAAAAAGAAAAAAGGAAATACTTTACACCACGCGTTGGAGCATGAGTTGCCAATTGCCATGGAGGATCCATTAAAATTACATCGAATTGACATTCTTTCGCTAATAACTAATTATAATAAATCACGCGAACAATATGATTACATTATTTGATCCGAAACATAATATTATGAGTGTGTGTGTGTGATTACTCACATCCCATTCAAAAGTTAGGACATCAGCTTTTATAGGTATACACCATTCAGGAGCTTTAAATTCTTCCCAGCGAACATCTAAATAAAATAACAATAATTATATCTCTACATTTTGTACACTTTTACCAATACACATTTTAGTCTATCTTTAGTTTCTTAAAAATTCCGAAATTCCAAATACCTTCATTCTTAGTATTACTTTTTACACTTTCTTTCATCTTACCCTTTTTACTATTACTACTAATGCTACTACTACTATTACTACTACTACTACTACTACCACTTTCATAATTATTATTATTATGGTTGTTGTTGTTGTTATTATTATTATTGTTATTTCTATTCTTATTCAAATTATTTTCTAATTGTGAAATTTCTTCCATTAATTCATCAATTTGTAATCGTAATTCTGTTTCCCGATTTAGTAAATAATATAATTGTGTATCTAATGCATTATCCGAAAATACACCAGAAGTATTATTTCCGTCGTGGTTTTCGTAGTTGTAGTCTTCATGGTTATTATTATTATTACTTTTATAATTACTACTATTACTTTTATAATAATAATTATTATTTTTATTATTACTTTTATTATTGCTATTATTTTTATTATTATCGTTATTATTATTATTATTATTATTATCACCAGTTGTAGTAGTAGATAATGAATATTGAAAGTCTTTGTCTGTTGTCTCGTAGTCTGACATTTTTATATTATGTATATTATTATTATTATTATTGTTCTTTTTTATTTTTTAATTATTCAATCACGTTAAAAAAAGAAGAATGAGATTTTAAAAAATTTATGATAATCGATATACATAGATATTGAGGAGACAATGTGGCGACGTGACTGTTTGTGTAACCATTTTCACATAATACTGTATTTAGTAAATATTCTAGCAATTAATAAGCATAATAAATTGATAATAAGCATAAAATATTAATAAATAAACTGTCTACTATAATCATTATTTTATTATTATATTATTATTTATCAATTCAGTTATTATGATAATTTGTTAATATTATTTTTTAATCCAAATCATTTTCTTTTGAATCATCATCATCATAATATGTTTTAACAACTAAATCTGATAAATCTACATCAGTACCAGGTTCAATAAGAAATGGATTCATACTTTCAAATTGTCTAAAGATTTAATAATTAATAATTAAATATTATGATTAATTAAAATTTATCAAATAAATTATGAAGAATAAATCAAATATATTTACTCGGGATATCTTAATCGATACATTGGAGGTGGTCTAGCTTCAAGTATTAGCATTCTAAATAAATAAATAATAAATAAATAATAAATAAATGAATAATTTAATTTATGAGAAATTTATTTAAATTAAGAAATATTATTATTATTATATTATTATTATTATTATTATTAACTTACGTATCTTTTGCAGTTTTTGTTTTATAATCAAGATTATTTAAAGTGATTCGTTTCCATTCGACATCTGGTGTCATCCAAGATTCAATCAACTAAAATATAATAAATTATTATATAAAAATATAATTAATTAAATTACCAAAAATATAATTTCAATAAAAAAAAAATTAATTTCATAAATACCTCTGTAATGGGATGTTTATTCTAAATTAAAAAATAGATAGATTTATATATATATATTATTTATTAAATAAATTATAATAAAATATAAAATTGAATTAAAACTAAAGAAATATTTCTTTATACCTCTCCACTTTTTGTAATATATTTATCAAGATGATACCAAGCAAATCCTATTAAACAAACAATTAAACTATTCCTCCATATTGGAGCTCCAAATCCTATTTTAATATATATATTCCATATATTTAATTAAAGATAATTAGAATAAAACTAGAGAATTATATATAAAATGATAAAAACCTTCTTTACGAATTCCTTGATTGGTTTCATTGGTAGCGTATTGACGGGTAGCATATTGACGAGTTGATTTATAAGTTAATTGCTGAGTTAATTGACGAGTTAATAGTCGTTTAATTGATATAGTAGAGCGAGGTATAATAAGTGAAAATTTGAGAAAATTCATATTTAAAAAAATTTAATAATAATAATATTTTTTTTTGTATTTCCTTTTGTATTTCTTTAAAGCTGATTGGTACGATAAATAAAACTCTATAATTAGATATTATTTTTCCGAGAAAAAAAGGTAAAAATGATTAAATTTAGAAATACTTCAATTATTACTCAAAGAATTATTAGAGTGCGTAAGTATACTTTTATTAAATATTATATTACAAAATAAATTTAATTATATTTGAAATATGTAATTATCAAATAAACAAATTTGCTAATCAGTTTCTTCTTTATTTTCAGCATTCCAAAGGTTTCTTAGCATTCCCGGGAATGGTGATACCAAAAAAAGGTATACAATAACAAATTTACCACTCATACATATATAAATATATATTAACTCCTTTTTTTTAAAAAAAAATTATAATATAGTCCCACTGCAATTGTATTATTAAATTTAGGTGGACCATCAAAGTTAGATCAAGTAGAAGATTTTCTTACCAGATTATTTTGTGATCCGGATCTTATTCCTATTCCATTTCAAAAAACATTGGGTCCCATAATTGCAAAACGTAGAACTCCTAAAATTCAAGATCAATATGGAAAAATTGGAGGTGGTTCACCTATATTATTTTGGACCCAAAAACAAGGAAAAGCTATTGAAAAATTGTTAGATGAAATTAATCCCAAAACTGGTAAATATATATATATATTTATACATAATTTATTAGATCATCTTTTTTATTATATCTATCATATTATATATATCATATCTTCTTTATTACTTTTTTTTTTAGCCCCACATAAGTCATATATAGCATTTCGTTATGCATCACCATTAACAGAAGATACAATAATTCAAATGAAAAAAGATGGTGTGAAACGGGCAATCGCTTTTACTCAATATCCTCAATATTCTTGTTCAACCACTGGTAGTAGTTTAAATGAATTATGGAGAAAATCTGAATTATTTGATTCGGAACAATCAATTCAATGGAGTATAATAGATCGATGGCCAACTCATTCCGGATTAATTGAGGTATTCAAAAAATAATAATCATTTATATATACTTTAATCTATTCTTAATATATAAATTTTTAATTAATTAACATATATATATATATATATATATTAATAAATAAAGGTATTCGCCAATCACATCAAGACTTCTTTACAAACATATCCTTCAGAAGTTCGTGATAAAGTAATTTTATTATTTTCAGCACATTCATTACCTATGGTAGTAGTTAATCGTGGTGACCCTTATATCTCAGAAGTTTCCGCTACGGTTCATGCGGTAATGGAAAGATTAAAATTTTCAAATCCATATCGTTTAGTTTGGCAATCACAAGTAGGACCTCAACCTTGGCAAGGACCTCAAACTGTTGATGCAATATTAGGATTTGGTAAAAAAGGTGAAAATAATATTTTATTGGTACCAATTGCATTCACAAGTGATCATATTGAAACTTTATTTGAATTGGATTTGGAATATGGTCATGAAGCTGAGAAGGTATTTGTTGTTATTGCTTATTTATTTGTTTATTTTATTTGTTGTTTCTTATTTGTTGGTTTATTATTTTATTAAAATTCAATTTAATTTATTATATAAATAATAATAATAATAATAATAATAATAATAATAATAGGCAGGAATTAAGGGTTTAAAAAGAGTAGAATCACTTAACGATGATCCGGTGTTCATTAAAGCAATGTCAGATATTGTGAAGAGTCATTTAGATTCTGGAAAAGTTACATCAACTCAATTGTTATTAAGATGTCCAATGTGTAAAAATAATTCTTGTCAAAAAGCAAGAGAATTTTTGCTTAAACAAAATATTTAATATTATTTATTTTCTTATTTTATTTAATATTATTTATTTATTTAATATAATTCATAATTGTTAATATTTATAACTCTGTAATTTCCGTAATTGGAATAGATCCTTGTTAATTAATTAATAAAAAAAAATAATTATAATATTTATAATATTTGTGAATTTATGCAATCAGTGTCACCTTAGAAATTATTTTATATTCTATAAATAAAACATTAAATTGTCTACCTTTTTTTTTAAAAAAAAAAAAAAATTTTTATTCGATCGAATTTTCGAATTCTCTCTCTTCGTATTTACTTAATACATAAAATTATTGTATATTCTATAAGTAAAACATTAAATTGTCTACCTTTTTTTTTTTTTTAAAAAAAAAAAAAAATTTATTCGATCGAATTTTCGAATTCTCTCTTCGTATTTACTTAATACATAATAATAACTAAATATGGAGGTTGTGAAGCTTAAACTACAAAATAAAGATATCCCGCAACTTAAACTTGTAACGAAACACGTCACGCAAGCCAAAAAATTCGTCGTGATCACCGGGGCCGGAATTTCGTGTAGTGGTGGAATCCCCGTAATATTTAAATAAATATATTTCAATTTTCAAATATTCGACGCGTTTTTTTTTTTTTACTCCAAACAATTATGATAATAGGATTTCCGTAGTAAGGAGGGAGGCCTATTTGACCTAGTAAAGAAACAATATCCTGGAATATTTCGTTCGGGAGGAGACCTCTTCGACTCCGAACTTTTAAGAAGTCCTGAAGCCGTCAAGGCTTTTAATTCGTTCATGGGCTTTCTCAAAGAAAAAATAATGAAAGCCAATCCAACGGCCACTCACCATTTTCTTAAAAAATTGGCCAACATGAAAAAATTAACTCGTGTTTACACGCAAAATATTGATAATCTCGAGGAACCAGCTGGTTTATTGGTAGATTGGAAACTCGAGAAAGTCACGAAATATAAAGGTCAAGTGGTTCAACTACATGGGTCAATGGAAAGATTGAGATGTATGAATTGCACCAATGATTATCCATTCGAGACTCACTATTGTGGATTATTCAAACAAGGGGACGCTCCTAGATGTCCAAACTGTGAAGAGAGGGGTATGCATCACGTGAAAACGCGATGACAATTGAAATTATATAAATAAGAGAGAGATATATATTCCTATTTTATTTTTTATTTTTATTTTTTTTTTAATTAGAAGAAAGTCGCATAAAACAAGGAAGACGGCCGCACACAGTTGGTGAACTTAAGCCAACTGTATTGCTTTACGGTGAAGAACATCCGAATGGATATGAAATTGGTCAACTCGCCTCCCAAGACGAAAGTAAAGTTGACTGCTTAATAATAATGGGTACGTCGTTGAAAATCCCAGGCATCAAGAGCCTTATTAAGAAGTTTTCAAGGGCCGTTCATAACCGTGGTGGGCATATTATATTGGTAAATAAGACTGATGTAATGACAAAGGAGTGGAATGGGGTGATCGATTATCAAATAGAAGGTGCATGTGATGATTGGGTCAGAATAGTGGAAGAAGAGTTGGAGATGATGGAGAGTACATCAAGGAAGATGAAGAGGAAGGTGAATCCGACCGAACCGAGGGATGTGAAAAAATCGAGAGTTGCTAAGCCCACCACGGTTAGAAAAACAAAAATTCCAAGTAAAGATGATCGACCTTGTTGAACCTAAATTAAAAAGGCAGCCCTTGTTGATGATAAAGTTCTGAAGATGAACGAGAAGCTCGATGATGATCGATAATACCCTCTGAATGTGCTGACGAACGAGGCGCCCTTTGAGTTAATGACTTTGTGATGCAGTTATCATATGATCGAAGAGTCCATATCATATGATCTAAGAGTCATCTATCAAATGATCGTAGCCAAATGAGACTGATGGGCGAAGCCGTTATCAGATGATCAAAATCAGCTATCGCTATAATGGTTATGAACCTTTTATTCAAATCGAACGATTAAATTAAGCACTAAAAAAAGGAAAAACATCTCCAAATCAAGGAAGTGGTTTATGTTAGGTGATTATACATTTCAAATTATTTATATTTTTAATTAACTTTCTAATGATATATATATATATATATATTTAGAATGCCACGATCCTTTAATGAAGATGTGTAACTCTTGAATTCATGTTCTTTCCATAAACAGTAATTTTATATAATGAGTTAGTGTGAATTTATTATTTAAAAGATATTTTGTAACTGAGGTTCGAATCCACGAATAATACACTTGAGATTAAAACAAAATGAATAACAATTGTAATTATAAAAAATTAAAATTATATGTATAAGAATGTTCTTTTTCACCTTTCTAACTTAATTAATTTTCTTTTTTCTTTATACATAAAAATTACGAATAACTCAAGGATCTCACATGGTGTCAATTGATTTATTATCAATTACTTATTTTAGACAAACCGTTTTTTATTATCTATGCTATCTGATATTATCATAAAAAAAGATAATAATATTAGTATGAATGACAAGTGCAATGCCTGCGTCTCGTAATACATTACGATTAATGATTTAATGAGTAAAATTATTTGGTCACAAGACTTATTTTATAAACTTTTTCTTTAGATTTTTGTGTTATTTGTATTATTTTAATTATTTTAATTATTATAATAATTATTCTAATAAATCTCCAATCTTCATAATCAATATATATATATATTTTGTTTTTTGTTTTTGAATTGCAGAATAATAATAGGTTTTTGAGTAATGAAAAAAAATACAATTTTAATAACAAATTATAGTATCAATATTTTTAAAAGAAAATAAAAAAAAAAAAAATTCAAATAATTGAACAAAATCCCAACATTCTGCAACATTCATTGTAAACTAAAATTGACTGCAAAAAAATCATTTTTGCTCTAACAGTAAAAAAAATCAAAACTTTGGACTTCATACAATATATAAAAATATAATAGAATAATTGAGTTGAGTTGATGGAGATATGGTAATTGTATGGAAAATAAACGAAATAGTGATTATAAAATAAAAGTAATATATTCAAAAGAAAGAATAATAAACTAAAAAAAATTTGATCAAAATACAATATCTTTAAAATATTAAAGTAATCTAGTCTACAGAAGTAAACATTTGCGAGGTCTTTTAGTAACCGGTGGTTCTAAAGCTGCAACGATAGCTTCATCGAATACATTCTTCAAACCTTTTTGCGTTAATGCTGAACACTCAACATATTTAACTGCACCTAATTCTCGAGCGAGTCTCTCGCCTTGCTCAGAAGTTACAGGTCTCAACTTTTGTTTTGATAGTTTTTCAACTACCGATGGATCATCCCGTAAATCTACTTGTGTACCAACAATTAAACATGGAACACCAGGACAATGATGGTGAACCTCAGGGAACCATTTTTCTTTAACGTTCTCAAAAGAAGCTGGTGAAGTTACAGAAAAACAAACAAGAAAAACATCCGTTTGTGGATAAGAAAGAGGACGAAGACGATCATAATCTTCTTGACCTGTTGTTTATGAATTATAGTATTTTTCAACATCCATTAAATAAATAAAAGTTAATGAATATATTTGTATCTTTGCAATAAAAAATCAACTGACTTGATATATTCCTCATTCTTTTTTTATTTTTATTTTTATTTTTATTTTTTATTTTTTACGCACCAGCTGTATCAAACAAACCCAATGTATATGGTTCATCACCAATCATAACTGTAACAGCATAATTGTCAAAAACCTATTAGAATTTATATTTTAGAATAAAAATTAAAAAAATTAAAAAAGAAAATTTAAAATTTAAAATAAAAAATTAAAAATTAAAATTAACTTTTTTTTTAAAAAAAAGAAAAAAAATAATAATAATAATTAAATTCTCTTACCGTAGGAACGTATTCAGAAGGAAATTTGTTAGTTGTATAAGAGATTAATAGACACGTCTAATTAAATAGTTTCAACCCACAATAATATATTAAAAATAAAAATAAATGTTAAAATAAATCGATTTAGTTAAAAATAATGATAAAAAAACTCTGCATATCGAAGGATAATCTGCCAGTATTTTGTTAATTCCAATTATTTCGTCGTCGAAATTAAAAATTCATTCGCATTTGAGACCACTAAATTTAATATAGCCCTATTATATGAGTATTGTTTGAGACGAGTGAGGTCAATCTGGATATTGACTTTACATTTCCTTACTATCCAGTTAACGAAATTTCAAAGTGTGCGATCGACAATAAAAAAAACAGAACTCTGACAGAAATTAAGCTAGCAACCAGAAGTATATAACACAATATATGAAATGAAAAAAAAATGGTTTAGTTGCTTACCTTCCCAACGGCACCATCACCAACTACTACACACTTTATTGTTTGCATAATTTATTATTAAATATTATAAACAAGTACAAGTATATCTTAGAGTCAAGGAGTGCTTAACAAAGACCTGAAGTATAACAAAAAAATTGTAACGGAGAAAAAAAGGATTTAAGTGAAGAAGGAAAGGTTTTAAAATAATAATATGGATATAAAGATGTCTGTAACGTGGTTTAAACAGAGTCTACTCGTTCTTCTTTATGTTTAATAATATGTAAACTTACATCTGCGACAAAATGCATGAGCAGATCGTTTCACTAAAAACATTGGACATTTTTCAATATTGTTAAAGAAGTCACAGGTATGTATTACCAAAAAACTAATCCATATCAAATTTCCCAATATTGAAAATTAACCCCTAAAGCCATTTTTAATTATGAAAATCATCAGCCTCTTGGCTTTTGATGCACTTAGCAAACTTCGATACATGGTCAATACATAGCCGACACAAAAATGATAAACGTATAAAGCCAAAAAAGATTATTAAGCTGAAATATAAGTTAAATAATGAAATATTTTTGTTCATGGAGAAATTGTCTTTTTCTTCTTTTTTTTCTTTTCTTCTGTTTCTTTTTAATTTCTTTTCACATGTCTAATCACATTGAAAAACTCGTTTAGTCATGAGATTGTTTAGTGCTTCCCATAACTATATCATCTATCAACATCCCATGAAATTAACAAAAAAAAAAAAAAAACAGAAAAAAAAGTGGGAGGAATGACAACGTAATAATGGAAACGAAAAACCACATGCCATTATTTAACTGTGACATATTTTCTGGGTTCTTACTGATATGTACAGTCAACATCTTGCATGCTTTTCTATGTATCTGAGGAAAACGAAAAGCAGATCAGAAATCGCTTTTTTATGGCATTCGTGGACCACTGAGATTTTATTTATTTATTTATTTTTTTTGCTTTCATCACGCAAGAACATCAAAAGATCACACTTATATTCCTGAAATTGTGCTGATAAAAATTTTGTCAAGTATATAATTGTATTTAATTACGTAGTACATAACACAATGTTCAGAAATTAATTTTGAACACTAAACAAATATGCAATTGTTATTGTGCTGAAACAAAATATAATCTGGGTCGCATTGCGGAGAAAGTTCATGCATTATTCTTCTTATATTACGGGCTAAATTATTATGAATTTTTCCCAAAATTGATGAAAAAATGTTTTAAATTCTTTGTACCCAACAAATAATTAACAAATATTAACGAATCAAAATTTCAAATTTCTTTTTCAATTTGTAATATACACTGGTAAAAATTCAAAATAAATTTGTTTTTACAATTTACCTATTTATTGTTTGTTTTTATCTAATTGTCTAAATATCTCAATTTAGCCTGTGATAATTATTAATTCGAAAACAAATCGATTTTTTGCCTTTTTTAGTCTTGAACCATTACTAATTTATACCTATTATAAAGTTTCATTGTATACTAATAAAAGTTATTCATTGAATTGTTTACATTGAAAAATACAGAATATAGACTTTTATGTATTTTTTTATACATTTAAATTGTTTAAAGAATGGTCCATAATTTTGGCAGGTGATCAGAAAAACGTGGTGACAAATGTTGGGTGTATATTCGAAAGATGTGATAAATATACTACCCTGAAAATCCCCTAACTCTTACATTTAAGAGTCTATACTCCAGAAGTGTGTTGACAAGGGATACCATTGGACAATGCAGGTGCATATATTTATAAAGTTTTTATAATCTAATTAAGCGCGACAGTAAAAAACCCCAGTGGAAATTGGAAACCTATTGGACTTTCATTCCCAATAGATTTTTTATTGGAATATTGAAAAGGTATTATTATGAGGCATGTGATATGAGTATAATTATTAATTAATTAATTTAGTTGTTGAATCAATTTTTTTTATTTTGGGAAGTGTGAAACGAAGTACAAAGATTTGATAGGTCAGGTCTAAATTTATAGTAACAAAATCGGACGGTTAATATTGTCGCGGCTGGCGCAGAACGTTACGTATAATTACGTAAATCAGTCTTACCAAACTCAAATTTCCGTTGCACTATGATCGTACAACCAAACGCACTTACGATTTGCTCGTTTCGTGCACAATACTTTTAAATACAGCTGACTCAATA